TTGCGAGTGTTGATAATAACGTGCTTGAAAATGTTCCTGCATACACACACACCTTGACAGTTTCACTCTTCGTAAGAGCATGGCAACTCGTGAACTTTAAGTTGTTGACAGCTCAGGAACTGCTTGCGGATTGCGGGTGAACTGCCGAGACCTCAATGTCGGCGATCCAATCAACGGCTTATTGTCCATCTCCCCCAGCCCTTGTCACCTGACCACCACCGCCAAGGCACTGTGAAGTCAGGGCATTCGTTGTGCCGCATTTAAATGGCGGGTAGGCTGGCGCACGCGCGTGGAGGTTAGCGGGATCGCCTCCCCTCAGGTCGAAACCCAATCCAGGGCGCAGAGATGCAGTTGCGTGCCCATCGCTGCAGCGCGCACAAAGCGTGCGGTTGTTGAGCCCCGATGTCCGGTTTCGCTCACCAACTTCAAAGATTCTGCGGCGGCACCCCCCACCCCCTTTTTGCGGGATCGATACCCGTGCTCGTTGCTCACCTGTGTCGTGCCGCTTGACCAAATCGATGGCTCGCTCGTCGATCCATTGGCGCTGTTGTGCTAAGAAGGCTTAGTTGGAGCCTTTGTTGTAAAGAAAACATGCGCGGTCTGAAGAAGGCTTAATTTGAAATATATACGGCTTGAGTCTGTTTTTTCCGGCTTGCTTTCATGATCACTCCGAATTGTCAGACTTGGCTGAAACAGAGCCGGTGTTCCCTATGGTATCTCGGTGGACATTTGAACATATCCCCATGCCTGATCTATGACCAATGCATACTGAAGCGTTCCCTTGCGATGTACGTCGGAGGGGAATTAACCGGGCCAGTCCCAGAAACAGTTGTGATGTCACGGGGTGACTGTACCTTCCTTCACCCACCTGGCCATGTTGGTAACAAGAGAGAAGAGGCCTTTAAGGTTAATGAAATGAATGCCAACGCAACTTGCCATCCCATGGTTACAAAGGCAACACTCGTCCTGGAAAATTCTGCTCTTAGTTTCATCCACCACCTCCTTTAGGCGTCCCCTTGTTTTTGCTGACCTCTATGTTGGCACTGCAGGTTCCTGTCCTTATCCATCTCCATGGCCTACAACTGCCTTTTTCTCACATTAAATCAACATGGCAAAATATCACGCATGATGTTGACTACAATGTATCTCAGTCCCAACCATTGCTCGAATCTGTCTGTCGTCACAAGATTCCTGCCTGGCAAATGGGCCCACCTTACTGGGGTCAGACACTAGGGTGTACTTGGGGAGAAGGAAGAGTGAAAATGCGAAAAGGGAATGGATGGGGTGGAAGGTGGGGGGGGGGGTGTGCGAGGGACAACTCTGGAACCCAAGTCCGCCCACTCGGAATGGTTTTGGCACAGGCCTGGATCTGGCGCACTTAAAACTTTTTGTTGAAACATGGGAATAGTGTATTTCTTTCTGTTTAAAACATTTATTTGTAAGGGCATTTTTATTGGTGGAGGGTTGGCGCATTTGAAAACAGGGTTGCCCTAGTTATATCATTGCAAGCTGCTCTGGCTCAGTGACCTTGTAAGGAGAGCCCGAAGACAGTCGTTTAAAAAAAACTGCTGAGCGGCATTGTTTTTTTTGTGTGTGTGTGGCTCTCGGATTCCGTTGTAGGCGGAACAAAGGCTTGGGGGAGGTTAACTTGTGCTGAACTTGCAAAGCTTTTGTCGTGACCTTTTAAAAGCGAGTAACAGGCTGTAATTAATTAGGATTGCAGTGGCGTTATTGAGATTGCTCATTCTTATGGAGAGAGTTCGGGGATTGCTCGAGTGTTTTCAGTTTGAGGCCGCTTGGCACTGTTAAAACACAGCCTTGCAGCTTTATACAGTGAAGCGCTGCAGTTTCTGAATATTGAAATAAATCAATTAATATATTTATCGGTATTGCAACATTTAATGTAATAAAAAATGTATGCAATTTTCATATAATTTACTTAAATTAGCAGCTTCCACACACAAGGCTTATAAGTAGATATACACCGTTATTGACGATATCCTCCTTGCAATCACTTTTCACTGTCGTGCTGGTCCAATTGATTGACCGATTATTTCAAGACATTTCAATTATTTCTTGCAACGTATTAGCCAGTTTAACACAATCGGCACCAATGTAGCGTTCGAACGTCTGTGAACATATTTTGTTTTTGTACAGTGAAATCACATGACAAAGTTTTGGGGCAACCTTCATTATTGTTACACTCGAGAGCTTGCTGATGCATTAGCTTTGTCTTAAAGGTTTTGCATACGGACCCAGTTCCTGTGGCTTGTGGGCCATTGCTGGCCGAGGATTCGTGGGATGGATTTTCTGCACTGCCATTCCCATTGCCCACATTCACACGCTTTCTGTTGGTCAGTCCCCACTGATGCATAACGCACTTCAAATAGTCCGCAAGAGCCGGGGCTGACTTCTAATCTGGCAGGGTTGTTGGGGGCCTTTTCTATTTGGTTGACATCGTGAGAGAAACGAGACCTGCGGTTTCCACAGTGCTTCGCAGCAATTGCCAGCTTGCAAATTGTTCACGGCTACCCGAGAGCTTTTCCGTTCTAAAAAACTGTAATCGATGGTTAACTTTGATAACGCCGGCAGCGGCAAAGAAATCGTGGAAGCTGTGTCCCGGGCCGCTCAGGAATGAATGAACTCATTCGTTTGTCTTAGCTCCGGCTGTGGCTCCTACGTACGTAGGGGGAATTTGGCGAAGATGGATTTGTGCAAGTGTGCTCTGCCACCTGCATAAACAGGCGCCTGGTCGCCAGCCAAGAATTGACCAGCGCCGGTTGCATTCTGCACGTAGTTATATGCTACCGCTAAACATGGCAATATTTTTTTCGTACGCCCTTTCTGTTGTGCAGTAAAGAAATAACAGTCGAGGGTATTTGGCCCGTCCACCGCGCTTGAGCTACTACAGTTATCCATCTCTTGTATAGCGAGTCATGAATCTCAATGGGTTTTCAGCTGGCTAAATAAAGGGCAATGAATTGAACCTTATTCTTAACGATAACCGTATCCCTAATAGTATATATCGACTGGACTTGCTCGAACTGTATCATCACTATAATTTACAGCCAATAGTCAGTGTTCTTAAGTGGTTTCCCATTCCAATGAACACTGAGCGGTCCTTGTCTCTCCTGAGCTACTGCTAGAGAATTTACATATCTACAATGGGGACGATGAGTCACTATTGGACAACTGTTGCTTTCTCGCAAAGAGGTGGCACTCAACCTATCCTCTTCCTGGCAATAACTTTGTCCTCAGTGTAGTCATAACCGAACTGTAAACGCGTCTGTACGTTTGGCATTGGTTAATGGAAGCTTCATTTCACTCTTTGGAAAAGATGTGCTTCACATATGCCCCACCTTGTCTTTTCCATGTCAGAGCTATTGTCTCCACGTGGCTTTACAATCTATCTCGTGGGCCCACATGCGCTCCGCGTTTATCTTGTGTAGTCCTTTATGCGCCGAGATAAATATACGGTACTGGCTGTGGGGGTAACTTACTCACCTTAAGAAGACCACAAAGCTGTGGGTGTTTAGATAGGTGCCAAAGTGCACTCCTTTATCGGGCACAAAATTTACAAGCACCTTTGCTTCTGCTCATTGTATTGGTTCAAGTTATAACTGCAAGGTCTGTGTCCAGAAGGGTGTGAATGTAGCTAGTGTTTGCAGAAGTGTGGGGGGGGGGGGTTTAAAGGGTATTCTGCTATTGAGAGAAGTGCTGTGGTTTGCCAATAAAGATTACACAGTGGAAGGAAGTCATTGATGGTATCTGCTGGCTGCTGAAAAAAAACCTGAATTGCTTGACTCTGAGATTTTTTTTGCTTGAGTTGGACTTTATTTTATTTTGTTATCCTGTTTGCTTTATACTTTGACACACGCCTGCCACGGACGCACAATCCCCAATTGGGAATTGGCTGTCACAGACAAAGTTGGGCCAAGGAAGCATTGTTTTCTGACTTGGGAAAACACTGCAAGCACAACCCAATGTTTATGCCTGCGCAAAAAAAAACAACTAATCAGACCCTTACTTCACATATTGTTGGCATTCCTGAAAGTGCATTTTGACCCACTTATTAATAGCACCGCTTGGTTATTTGAAAACAAACAATCCTCAGCTGTGAAACAAGCTGTTCACTTTTAATATTGAACATCGAGTTGTTATTCTTTATAGTTTAGTCAGGTCTGTCTTGCACTAGGGATTGCATCTCCTGGGGGGGGGGGGGGGGCGAGGTGGGGATGAGCACGGAGCACCTGGTTCTATAGGAACTAAAAGTTGCACTGAAATCAAATTTTAAGCGACTGCCTACATCTGTAGCCAGAAACACCACATTCCGAATTGGCATTGCCGTACAATGGAAATATATGCATACATGGTTTCAGGCGATGGCCCTCTGTCAGAGCTGTTCTATGGTAGGACCACCGTTCTTCACCTGTTGTCTAATTAATATAATGGACGAGATGGCATCGCAGCGATGAGTTGAATCTAACTGGGGAAGCTGCGAGTGTTATTCCTTCGTGACTGGGTTTTCTCTGGGTAACTCGGAGTCATCACAGATGCTCTTTAATGGGATTTTGCCCAACATGCCAATGCAGGACTCTCCTGAAAAATAGTATTTGGACTCTGTTAAGCTCTCCTGGGTCAATGAAGGGCCTTGTTTTTTTCGTCGCAAGTTATTGTTACCCACTTACAAAAACACTTGTTTGTACTCTGCCTATTGACTGAGCCTTGTTTAAATAAATCATTAAACTTTCGGTAGCTGTTTACAGTAGCATTTAAATGTAATTTACCGTTTCACATGCACCCAAAGTGCGTTATTGTTTAGGTCAGCGTAATTTATTTACATTTAAATTGAGGGAAAATAAACAAGCGGTGGTGTGCCAGCAATAATGGTGAGCGGGAGCACCGCTAACAGTTTTAAACAAAAAAGCGTCAAAATGTAATGTTTTATTTGTTTGACATGATCGCGCTAACTGTAATGTATATTGATTTCTCTCTTGCAGGGACTTGAGCTACAACCAGCTAACGACCGTAAATCCCGAAGCTTTGGATGGCCTCGTAAACCTACACGAAGTGTACGTATCGATCGCGCTTCAATATATCGGTCATGATTTATGCATAGAGATTCGCGCGCGTGCGTTAGAGTCATCCAATCAAGGGTCTATATCGGGCACTTGAAACACGACGACTGTTGGGAGCAGCAGGAGGTCGCGGGTTCGATCCCGACCCTGACGCCTGCTGTGTATTTGGAGTTTGCGTGCGTCTCTCTCTCTCTCTCTCCTCGTGATCGTGTGGATTTTTGTCCAGGTCCTCTGGTTTTATCCCTCCACATTTAGAATCGACGTGCGTTTAGAGTATTTGGCCTGTAATGATACACCCCCTCCTCTCCAACCCTTACGATTCGATGAATTGTCATGATCAGTCACAATTCGTTTAAACAATTTGGTCGTTTTGTTTGTACTGGTTTTTTGGTATTTTCTGATTTGTACTTTTCACTCTCAAATAGCATGAATGTAACATTTGCATTAATTTGCTTAATCCATAATAAGCGATTGTTACGTTTAAAGGTTAATGAATTTTGAGTCTTGTGAATGTAATATTTCTGTTTAGATTACTTGACTGCTATAATTTTTCACGTGATGATAAGCCACTTCGTTGAGCTATCATTTGTGGCCACGTCGCTATACAGCTAAGTGAACCTTACCTAGTAAAATAAAAAAAAAACAGTTTAGTTTTAGCTACAGCCAATTAGCATGGGTCGCGACGTAGACACGGTTTGTCTGTCCGTCTGCCTCCGTCCCGTTGTTGCCTTGAGCAGCAGAGCATTCAGAATTGATTCACTCTTGCACGCCGATGCTCCCATGTGGTAGCTTAGCCAATCGGCGCCCACCTTTATGGAATGGACGGATCGCGCAACGGGGTGACGAATCGGCATTGCTCCTATTGAGCGCCTGTTCCTGCCACTTGCCCTCCGCCTCCTCTTGTGCCTTCAAACATCGACCCGGCCAACGTGTGTGTGTGTGCGCGCAACGCACAGCTCCCCGAGCGTGCAGCTCGTCAAATGATTTGCCACTTTGGCGGGAAGAATTGTCGCTCGATCGATGGCGGTGTTAGTCGTCAACGCATCGTTACATGGTTACAGTGCGACCGCGCGGGAGTATCACGTTAAGTCTTGATGCCGTACAGTGTTACACCAGACAGGTGCCACGGTGGCGAGATGTTAACTACCTCGCCTGGTATGCAGGATGTCGTGGGTTCGGTCCCGTCCCTGATGCCAGCTGCATATTTGAACTTCGCATTTTCTCCCCATGGTCGCTTGCATTTTTCTCAGGTTCCTCCGGTTTTTCCCTCCACAAATATAATCAATGTGTGTTTAGAATATTTGATTGCTATACATTTTTTCACGTGATAAGCAAATTTGTTGGGCTGTGATTTGTGGCCAGGTCGCTTCTGAAAAAAAGCTTTCTAGCTCCGCGGACCTTACCTTGTAAAATTAAAATCGTTAAGTCTAGTTGAGGTGGCGCGGGGGTAAAGCGAGTTGCTCGCAATTGGAATGTTGCAGATTCAAATCCTGGTTGGGGGTTGACTCAACTCACCATCCTTCTGGGTTCGATACAATGCATACCGATTTGTGGGGAGATCAATAAAGGTTGTCCTATGAATAGACTCGCCCCTGCCATAAAAATGTGGAATTTGCACCAGTGGCTCAGGGCTGTTAACAGGAGATGAGCACCATGCCTCAATGCCCGTTTGAACAAGGAATCGCTCTGACTTTACAATTGAGGCCCATGCCAAGCTCTTACCCCAAGGAGCGAAAGTTGTACACGCTCTGAAGAGAAATCACCAGAAAAAACAAGACCACAAAGGCGTTGTGACCACTTTGGATGCAATTTAAATTGAGCGCAGTTCCTCAATGCGCGTGGCATTCCAAGGTTGTATTGCTTTCAAATTCCGACAAAAAAACATTCCCAGCATCATTGTGCAGTCGATCCAGAAGTCGTTCAGTCAATGCACACGTACGATCGTGAAAACCACAGTTGAATATGGATCTGCATGTAGAGCCATTTGCCAATCTCCACTGCTGCATGCTGCATGAGGGTCTTCCCCACGCCATGCGGGTCGTGGTGGTTATATGATTGTACGTTACCATGCTAGGCATTGTGGGTTGGTGAAGATAGGGAACGTAGACGCGGCAGTGTAAAGTGAAGTTCCATCAGTAGTTGCACTGCTTGCTGCTGTCCACCACATAGCGCCGCAGCCCGCGACACCTCTGTTGTGTATGGTGGTCACCCATCCGAGCAACAGCCCAGGTGGAAATCTGCTCAGCTTCCAAAATATAATGAGATTGGGGGCACATTCCGGGTGATTTGGTCATAAGCGCTGCATATGTGTTGTATGCGAATGCATGTGAAAACCAGCTTGAAGCCCATTGAGATTCGTGCACTGTAGCGCGCATCGACCATCCATTCATAATCGGCAGCGGTGAAACGCAACGGCGCCGTGCTCCCATTTTGACTGCAAGCCAGCGGGGAGGAGTTTGAATGGGGCCCAAGCAGACGGGGCAGGAAGGGGAAGGAGGGGAAAGGCAGCCGGGGGGAAAGGGGGCGTTCATTTGAGCATGGTAAACCCCCCCTTCCCCCCCCCCCCACTGGCTCTCGTGAGACAGGCGGGACAGCTGTGTGAATGCTAAGTGGAGGGGGCCCACGGTGGGTGGTGTGTGAAGCTGCGCCGTCCGCGTGAGGCTGCAGAGAGGAGAGAGCGGAATCGGGAGCCCGAAGGCCTTGCTCTGCTCGTGGGTTTGCGTCGCTCGCCTCCGTGCTGTCGCAGCGTTCGCGCAGTAAATAATAAGCGTGTAACGATACAGCTCCTCCTCCAACCCTTGCGATTCGATGAACTGTCATGATCAGAGTCACGATTCAACAATTTGGTCGTTTTGTTTGTACTGGTTTTTGGAATTTTCTGCGCTGCACTTTTCTTGTTAAACTAGCCTGAATGCAACGTTTCCATTCACTTGCATGTGATTTCCATAATCCATAATAAACGATTATCACGTTTACAGGTTAATGAGTTTTGAGTGTTGTGAACGTAAGATTTCCGTTTAGATTATATTGCCGCTATAAATTTCCACATGATAAGCCACTTTGTTGAGCTGTTATTTGTGTCCAGGTTGCTTCTAAAAAAGCTATATAGCTCAGTGGGCATTACCTGGTAAAATAAAACGTAGTTTAGTTTTAACTTAAATCCAAAAAGTAAATAAGTAAATGTGATATTTCGATTATTATAAAAAAAAGTGAATTTCCAAAAAAAACCATTTTATTGTGAAATGTTACCTTGGCAAACAATGTGCAATACCCGTTTGATCCGCAACCATAAACAGTGTTGTGTTTTGGAGTAATGTATTATATGCATTTGACATTGGTCATGTGCTCCACTTGATACTTACAATGTGATCGGTTTTAATTAGACCATGCTCTATTCATGAATGACTGAAATGTTTCTTTCTCAATCCTTACCCACACACATGCACACACATGGTTTTTTTAATATATACATATACTGGCTTTCTAGATATAACAACGCTCATTTGGTAAACACCACAGTGGTATATTCTTGCAGCTGAACATTCAATTGCTAGTCAGTTGCCTGATTCCATAATTACTGTTGGTGCTCACTTGCAAAACAAAACGCACAGCTTTAATTGCATTAATATTTGAGTTTGAGGTGTTTAAATTTTGATTTAAAGCTTTCGTGACTGCAGTAATTCATATTCTTAGCTCTTTCGGTAAAGTCACGTTGAAGGGAAACAATAAAGTAATATAATATATATTTTTTATTTTATTGTTATTATTTTATTGTTTCCCTTCAACGTGACTTTACCGAAAGAGCTAAGAATAAAAAAATATATCTTTTTTATTATTTTATTGTTTCCCTTCAACGTGACTTTACCGAAAGAGCTAAGAATATAAAAATTTGAGGTGTTTCTGTCGTTGTAGCACAAACTACGGCCTAATGTGCGTTGTTGAAATTGTCCATTGCAGGAAGTTGAATCACAACCACCTCTCGGAAGTTCCCGACCTTGGAAGTGCAACAGGCAGCGTCACCACGCTCTCGCTGTAAGTGCATGCTTCTCGTTTAACGTATTGTTGCGTCTAAATGCTCGTCTTATGCATCACACATACACGTGGCTACTTCAGTGAACCTGTGCAGTAAGTCACGGGTTAGGTGAATGCAAAACTAAATATTAAAATTTCTGTAAATTCAATAAACATACACCACAATAAAATAAAGTAATATTGGTCTAGCAACCTTAATTTCATCTACATTTAAGCAGCAAGACTCGAGAGAGGTCTTGACTCTGATCTTGTTTAATGCCTGCAGTCCGAGACAAACAGCCTCCATGAACATACTAATTGCGGTCCAGCAAAATTGTACAACTGTGGGACTAATTAAACACGTTTTCTGATATGTTTTCATTAGAAAATATACATCATATAACCCGTGAACCAATGTAAGTAGATACAAACACTTTTGCTACTCCGAACCTTATGCAACAACACTTGTGTGGAATGAATTCATGTTAGTAATACCGGTTTAGAGAGGATAAGACGGGCAAAAAAACCTTCCACCTGCACATCTAGCACCTTTATAGTTTATTTTAGTTCTATCCGCAATTTCCAGGACGTGTCTTGGTGGTGAAACAGGTTTGTGATGACCTTTACGTCTGTTTATTGGATATCCATGCAAGCCTGTAATTTAAAGATTTGAAGTCGGCGGGCCTGTGGTTATGTAATGTCAGCGGATGAAATGGATATGATCCTCCCGTGCTGTGAAAATGGGGCTGCCTGAATGAATTACAAATTGAGCCCCCCTCCCCCCTTTTCACTCCGCGAAACAGGTAATCGCAAGGTGCTGCTGATGTTGTTAAACATGTCAGCGTGCCGAACACACATAATTAATGGAAGCTGCAACTCCACATTATCAAGCATTTTCTATGTCGGGGTTTTTTTTTTGCTTGCTCGGCTGTCTTGCTAAGGAGTATTGTCGGGGGTCATTTGAGTTTTGTCAGACATTAGCAATGAAAACTTTATATTTTACCAGGTAAGACCCATTGAGCTGTATAGCTCTCTTTCGGAAGCGACCTGGCCACAAATGATTGCTCAACGAAGTGGCTTATCAAGTGGAAATGTATAGCAGCCAAATACTCTAAATCCATGTTTCTATATGTGGAGGGAAAAACCGGAGGACCCAGTGAAAAATCCATGCGATCACGGGGAAGGAGAAATACCAACTCCTAATATACAGGCGTCCGGGTCAGATCAAATCCACCACCTCCGCCATACCAGGCGAGGTAGTTAAGATTTCGCCATTGTGGTGCCCCTGTATAAGCCATGTTGGTGGGGGGGGGGGGGTATGTACAGTTTTAGGTTCGGAAGAACTCTGGTACTGTGCTTAGAGCTGGCTCGTGTGGGGGGAGCTCAAATTGCCACTGGGAGACAACCCAGTCTATCGTTTGTCTGGTGTCGATCAAAGTTATAGCAGTTTGACACGTAGACTTTCGTGGCCAATATTATTAATGTATCAAGATTTTTGGGTTAGATCGCGTATGTATAAATGTGTCGTTAACCCGCCACCACTCGACACAGCCAACCAGTCAGGTTTGTCACGTAAACCTTACTGGTTGGCTGTGACAAACCTTACTTGGTTGGCTGTGTCGGGTGGTGGTGGGTTAATGAGCCATTTATACTTACGCGATCTAACTCAGAAACCTTTATTATCAAAAGTTCTACCACTTTGTGGAAATCGACAGCGGTTGTCCAAGGTAGTGAATTGCTCCTACCTGTCGTCGTATGGAATTTCCCCAACGGGGCACAGAGCTGTCGGCGGAAATGGACGCGCGCTTTTGATATGAGCGGAGAGACTTGACATGATCGGTGAAGAACGGTGTTTGTGTTTGAGTGTGAAAAGGCATACGTAAACCTTTTTATTAAGTGTTCCTGCAAATCAGAAACATGAAGGGCTTCTGGGGAACAGTATGTTCTCATATTTGCTAACTTAGGATAACATTGGAAGCTGTAAACAGTGTTTAATAGGACCCGGTGGATGTATGGTTTACAGCCTATGAAAGGGGAGGGCCTTCATGCAGTTTGGCCTGAGCAGAGGCTGCAGGGTGTCCGATAACAGTCCAGTGGAATAATTGTCTACATTTGGTTATTTACCAGGCCTATAGCCACCACATACCTTTGCAAAGAGTTTGTCTTGGAACTTTAAAAGGGGGACGAACTGCTGTGTTCTTAGCAAGCATTTTACGAGGTACGTCTGAATATCCTACATTGCTGCATGGTGAATAGTTTATTGGGATTATAAAGATTTACATGGAGTGCAAGTTGGCAGTAAAAGTAGGACATCTGGGTGGCAGTTAAGGGTGGATTTTTGCAGCTGATGTCTAGATTAATTCCACAAATTAAAACAAATTAAAAATACTTTTTTCAGCTAAGAGACCCCACTCTTTTTTGAGAATAAGTAAATGTTGCCAACGTTGATGAAATAGCCTCTGCTTGTTGCCTAGTTCTAGATGTTCCAAAGTCAACACATTTTTGTAAATGGATATCCCTTCTGTAGATTTCAACTAATTCAAGTGAATTCCAAAAGTGGATGGTCACACACAGCACAACTGTGCCAAGTTTTGGGCAGCTTGTGTGCCGAGAAATTGGAGTTTTCAGACACGGCAAGAATGTTTTAAGCAAGGTGTTTCAGAATCTTGAAAAATGAATTTACAGTGTTTGGCAGAGCGTCCAAAATTTATTTAAGTTTCAGCACTTGCAGCATTGCATCTGCTACAGTTTAATCAGTGTCGGCAAGGAGTATGGGCCTCCGTGATGAAGCAGCTGCGTGTGTTTGAAGTTTGACGTGCGGTAACTCGCCTTTGAGAGCTTCCCTTAACCCTCATTAATTGGCCCCGATTGTCAAACATGTGGACCTGACAATGAACACTGAAATTAACGAGAGCATTCCCTTTCCTAAATTCTGACATTGTAGTTCCGTCGCAGGCCACAACCTTATTTGTACATGTGTAGTATTCCATTTAGTAATAGGTTTTTACCCTTTTAGCTGGCACAAAAACTGACACCTTTATACAAGGGATCATGTTTGCAAATAACTACAACACAAGCAGTCAAAAATGTTGTGGTTATTGCAAACATGATCCCTTGTATAAAGGTGTCAGTTTTTGTGCCAGCTAAAAGGGTAAAAACCTATTACTATATCTTGTTACTGGCAAAGGAGGTCTAATAAAGTATTCCATTCGTTATATTGTATTGTCCTGTGCCATGGTACACCCGATCCTTGGCATTCGAACTGCACTACCCCCAGATCTTAAAAAAAAATGGTCTTGATGGCCTCACACCTGATTTGGAATGAAGCCTTTCGTTAAATACCAAAACCAGTTCACCTTAATGCTGAAGCAGAACATAAAAACTGTGGTTGAGTATTTCCAAAGAGAACGACATTGATAAATAACATGGTCACTGATAAGGGGCGTTAAACTCTTGCAGACTGTTACATTGTATGAATGGTTCAGTGTTAGGTAATCCAATGGCAACAAAACCCACTGTTATGACACCACTGTATCAGTTTTCTACTGCCCGATTGTCGGCATTGCTGCATTCGGGCAATAGAAAACTGATGGCTCAATCGCGTGTTTTTTTTTAAAGATTAACTTTTCTCAGTTCAGCATCTTGCACCACTGAATCAGAGCATGTGTTTTGTTCTCCAGCACAACGGATGTTGAGCCCAAGGTCCAAACTGTATTCTCGCATAGGCCAAAGAACTCGCAGTGCTGTTGTGCGTGCCAGTCATGGCACATGAATGCACTTTGCACCGTAAAAAAAAAACAACATGAGTCTGTAAAGGAAAAGCACGTAGCCCAAATGCCACGGGACTCGGCGGAGTTTTCTCACCTAATGGCATTCAATAAAATATGTAGTAGAGTGGCAGAGTTGCAGGTGCCGAGCAAATTTTTTGTTAAGATGGAAACACGTTTAGTGACTTGCACAATAAGACAAAAAAAAAACAACAAAAATAAACAAGAAATTTGAACAAACAGGAACATTTGGATCTTGTTAAATTATGTACGGTTCTGTGTGTGTGTGTGTTCCCGGGACGGCTTAAGTGTGAAAATATTTACAGTGTGGTGGTGTGACAGCTGGTTACAATCACTCCCATGGAACACATATGCGGTTGATTGTTTTAAATAGGAAAAGACTACTGCTCTAAAGTTTGCTTTATTGTCATACAGATACATATTATTTTCCTACCAGGTAAGAGAGCTCACTTATCAAGCAGTCTATTTTTACACACTCTTATTGAACTTGCCGTGTTGTCTGTATATATTCTTTGGAATCTTTGACGCTTTAATATCTTCGGATCTACGAAGCCTAACGAGCTGAAATTTTCAGCGCTGACTCGCCTCGCGTGCCAATTCAAGATTTCATTAAAAAAAAAACGGTCCAGTTCCCGGCCATGGTGGTCCTATTCGTGGTTTTAACTAAATTTTACTAATTAATAATCGTACATTTTACACCCCCCCCCCCCTCTTTTTTTGAAATTGCGAATGGTCGCGCCCACCTACGACGGGAAACGTCTTGCTGGCCAGCCCATGACCAATGAAAGGGGCGCTTAGATCACCGCCCGTCATGGCGCCGGAGCGGCCGCTGTGCTGCACTCTTCCTTAGCGCGAGAGCAACAAGTACACACAAACTATTAGGTAATTTAAAAAAAAACTAGATTTTCAATGCACACACACACACTTTTATTTGCACTCAAAAGTAGAAAGTGAATTATTTTGACCCCCAGAGATTGCATTGCAAATTAATAGATGATTAATTGTTTTGTTTTACACTTATGATGATAGCCAACTATAGGGATACAGAAAACAAATGCCTTTTAAAATGAGTGTGTTCTCTGACAAGAACACCGAGTTAGTTGGCATGATGCATCATTTAAATTAATGGCGACCAGTGGCTCTCGATTAATGCTAACATGGGCAGCTAGAGATGGTGCAAGCACAAAGGGATAACCCAAGAATAGATGGAACAAAGGAATCATGGTACTCGTGCAGAAATACAAAGTGGCTGAAAATGACCTTACATGGCAATTGGTTACTTTATAGAGATATATTGCAAGAAGCAGATGAGAACGATGGTGGCAAGGATGAGAACGCTGTGAATTTCCATATACCACTGGGTTTAATACAGGCCAGGGCTAATGTATTTACCCCCAGAGAGGGGCCCTAATTCCCACCTGAGTAAACATCACCCACATCAATACTGTCACTGTGCCTGCAGTTGGAGCAGATTTCACAAAGCCGCTTTGAGAGAGAGAGCGCGAGCGTGTGAGCGAGCAAGCGAGGGGAGATGTGGTCGGTTTGTGCAAGTGTCTTTGTGTTTGTCTAGGTGCGTGTGTGTCCGCGTGTGCGGTAGTGTAGCGGTTTGCGTGCTGCGCTACGAACCCAGCCACCCGAGATCGCGGACAACACCAGTGACGATTATTTGAACCGGTCCTGGGCCTCCCCTAGGTCGACTCGGCCTCGAATGAGTACCTGGTGCGGTGTGTAAAAATATCGCCACTGAGGAGGCAAAGGCGGCTGAGCTTGGTGTTGGCCACCCACCCCCTCGTGCCGGCCTTCATTGGTGCTCGCTAACAGCACTTGCCCCAACAGTCGATTAAGCCTATGTGGGGCATCTTTGTCTTGATGTGTGCGTGTGCATCTACTCGTGTGCATCAGCATTTGCATTCTTGCTGTGCAGTTTGCACACGTGCATGCAAGCATTCTATCCTCTCGTGTCCCTTATATCCCCATTTGGACGACAGAGACTGGTATGCATTGCAGACGGTCCGCACTGACTTAGTATGGCTGGAGGCCAAAGCATTTGATGTGCGCATTCTGAAAACGAATGCCAGTGCAAAGGATCCGCTACCTGCCTGAAATAAGGCAGGCTTCTAGAGTTTCATTATGCAGAGCTCAGCTCGGGTCCTATTTAATGTTAATGGGACAGGCCTTGGCGTTATCCCCGTTAGTCCAGCGACCAATGGGAAGACCTGAAGCTAGATGGCGGCATACTGTTTGGGCATCTCTTGGAGTTGGCCACGTATTGTGTGGCAGCTGGGATGTGGAGAAAGTGAGAAGGCATTGGCGAGGTGTGATGGCATCGTTGGCTTCGTCCATGATGGTAATCCTGATCTTGCCTTAATTGACACATATCATATTCTCCGGATTGTAAGAGTCACATCTTGGGCCATGTGGCAATACAAAAATAAATAAAATGTTACGAGGTCATAGTCAACCACCTACCGGATTGTATGATACGCCCCCAACTTTTGCTTTAAAATACGTGGCGGGGCGCAGTGGAAATTGCTTCTGAATCCAGAGTGTATGGTGACAAAGCTTCAGAATCATTTGCAACAGTGAGAGGCACACATCTTATATAAAAAAAGCACACAAGATCCAGGTCCGATTTAACACAGTACATAAAATTTGTGATCTGATCCCATTTGTGAAGGATGTGATCCCTGACATGCAATATCCCGGCGTCTACATAATATACTATGTCTGCGGCAGTAGTTACATTGGGGAAACTAAGCGACATGTCTCGGACCGTGTTCGTGAACACAAGGCAGATCTGAAACACGGTAGGACCAGTAACTCGGCCATGGCTTATAATCTTAATGCAGTGGGCTCACACGAGATTGATTTTCGAAGACGAAGGTACTTTGCAAACCCACTGGCTATCAACAAAGATTCGTTCATGAAGCCATCCATATATAAACAGACACAGACACAATTTCAACCGAGAAGATGAGTACAAATTTAGCAATCATTGGAAGGACGTTATCAACCAGTTTAAGTCATAACTGGCTGTGATGTTCCCATCCTGCCACCTTCCGATGTTAGTTGTTATTTTCGACTCTCCAATTTTACATTAACAGGTTAAATTTCTCACACCAACACAGCCACCTTTGCGCGCCGTACCTCGACGTGTCGGTGGCTCTGCGATCTCCCATTAACATGCTAATCTGTCACATTAACATAGCCACCTCGGCGCGCTCACCGTGGAGGCCGCTCACCGATCTTACATGAACATGCTAATTTTTACCTGGCAGTCCTTTAATTGGTGGAAACCCACCGCCAATCGCGGTCCCTGCCCATCACTTACATTAACATTAGCTGCCCCACCCATGCTGCTGACATTTGGGCTACGCACGATCGAAACGTTGTAGTTTTTTGTTATCGTCTTTGAACCTATCTACGTGACTTTACCGAAAGATCCAAATAATATAACTGAAGTGGTGTTTGCCTTTGGGTTTACGTCTTATTTGTTTTGATTGTACGTCTTTGGGCGCAGCGTGTGTGTGTGGCACGCGCTCGCTCGCACGTGCACACAAAACTTGGCCAAACTCATTTGGGCCTGCTCCGGCCCACGTTAAATGTTTCAGCCACGCATGTAAGCCTCCTTTTTCTGGATAACTCCTTGTCGTTGAGGTCATACAGGATGATGGAAGTTTGGTTTCCAGTGGAAGAATGTAAAATCTGCATGAGTAGGCTCGTAACTATTCAGCACCCCCGCCGCTGCCCCCGCAGCATGATCATCAAGCATTTTCACTCTTCGTGTTTACGAGTCGATTCAACTCTCGATATTTTGTACGTGGTTTCACTGTCTCGTTCACAATTATTCTTGTTTTTTTTGTCGTTTTTTGTACAGTGTCATTCACCCCCTTAATATTTACATTTGCATAAATCGTCTGTTAGTCGATGCTTCCACACACAATTCAACACATCTCTCGTCAGCGTGACCATTTCAACCGTCGCACCTTCGCATGCCCACGGTAAATACGCAAATGATTCTCAAAGTGCCTTCGCTTCCCCCCTGTGCGAGCTGCTGCGATTGTTTGAACGTGGTCGTGTATAGGCTGACGGTGCCCTTGTGTGCTTATCGCTTGCCTGCTTGCATGCAGGCAGCACAACCGGATCCGAGCCATTGCGGCAAAGGACTTCCAAAAGTATTCGTCGCTGGAGTCTTTGGAGCTAAGCAACAACCACATCACGGAGTTAAAGGCTGGCTCCTTTCCAGAGGGCATGCGCCTGAAGCACCTGTGAGTATATAGACCCCACTGTTCTCATCAACACCCTGTAAATATTTGCCACACGGTTAAGGTGCGTACGTATGACGTTGAACGTCTTTCACACCGTACGTAGCCAACCGTGTTAATCGGAGGTGCCGGGGAAGGACAATAAACTAAACGCAACAAAAAGCAGTTCTTAAAGAAATGCGTTTTCAATCTAGATTTAAAAGTACATCGCTCCCGTGGCTTCCTAATGTCGAAAGGAAGAGCGTTCCAGACGGCCTCAGAGGTGCATCTGAAATCGTGCAATGCGGTGACAGTCTTTGTCCAATGAGCTCTCAAGCGCAGGGTGCAAATGATCTCAGCTCGGTCACCAGTGGCCATACTATAGTTTATCTCGTCTTTGTATGATTTTGTTGTTAATGTCTCTTAACTTTTTTCAATATTATTTTTTCCCCATCCCTGGTCTCCTTTGCAAAAAAGAGATGTTTGTCTCAATGGACTCTCAGCTGGTCATAAATAAAATTCATGTACATGTGCGTGTGTGTGCTCTGTTCTGGTGCGGTGTGTAAACATCGCCACTAGGCAGACAAAGGCGGCCGGGCATTGTGCTGGCCACCCACTCACTGGTGCGCCGTATCGTCCTTCATAGGTGCTCGCTTAACAGCACATGCCCCAAAAGTGTTAAGGCTATACAGGGGATCTTTGTTTGGTAAACAATGAAATACTAATTAAGACCAGATGACAATGGATTGAGATATCTTATTATTAAAAATGTGGGTGCACTACGCTGGACATCTTTACAGCCAGGTGAATATTCTTAGCTCTTTCGGTAAAGTCACGTTATATATATTTTATTATTATTTTATTATTATTTTATTGTTTCCCTTTAACGTGACTTTACCGAAAGAGCTAAGAATATGAATTATTGCAGTCACGAAAGCTTTAAATCAAAATTTAGCCAGGTGAATAGTTGTACAGGGCAGTTGAGAATAATGGAACATCACCTTTACATATGCTGGGTTTAAATGGGGTTGTAGATTTTAAGTTTGTTTTCGTTTAGTCACTATCACCTATTATTAATCCACTGCTGGATGATGGCCACCCAAAGCCATCACCACCTCTCATGATCCTCGAATAAAATAATCCACCGAGCGCCTGCACTTGAACGGATTTATTCATTCCTTCTCCGTGGTTGGATGTCCTTTCCATAAAATGCATTTATTGGCTGCCGCGATCTCACCATTACTATTCTGGACCATAGGCTGTCATCCATTCTTTGCGACAATTCCTGCCAAAAACCCAAAATACGTTTTTTGACAGTTTGAATCGTGTCATTAACCTCAGCTTGTTCCTTAATCCGCATTTCACTGTTTCCGTGTTTCGCACTGTAATACTTAAACGAATACAACTTATAAAGGATCGCTGACCTTCGTATCATCATTCCCACAGAAACTTGAATGGCAACAAGATTTCTCTGTTGGAGTTGGGCTGCCTGGACAACCTCTCACAATCTCTGTTGAGTCTCAAGTTGAACAAGAACCGGATAACGTCCCTGGCCCCCAAGCTGTTCAAGCTACCTCACCTGCAGCACCTGTGAGTCCTAAATATCTGTACACTGTGTGTCCAAGGATGTATTGTTTGAGTTCCCAGTGCAGTAGTGCAGGCCAGGCAAGTGAACTCTGCAAAGTACATATTACTTGCTGACCCACCCATACTGGACATCTGTGAAAAAGCGCTGCATAGCTCATCGAATTCCTCCAGTGTAAATAAAGATTCTGATAATAGGGAAACAGTACATTAGATGGTAATGGAACTGTTATTGCTGTTTTTTGGGTCTGAATGTTAGACTCTAAAATCCGGGGAGGAGTGGATGTTATGCACCACAGAAATGAGGATGCTGAGATGGATCTTGGATCACAAGACAGGGTAACGTCAAATATTTAGAGAGGAAGAAGGCAAGAGTGGTGGGGCCCATCTATCTCGGACAAGATTAAAGAAACTAAAATTAAACTAAACCTTTTTATATTACCAGATAAGGCTCACTGAGCTATATAGCTCTTTTTTCAGAAGCGACCTGGCCACAAATGATAGCTCAACAAAGTGGCTTATCACCATGTGGAAATTTATAGCATCCAAATGTGGAGGGAAAGACCGAAGGACCCGGAGAAACATCCATTTGACCACGAGGAGAACATGCAAACTCCAAATATTCTGGCATCAGGGTCGGGATCGAACCCACAACCTCCTGCATACCAGGCGAGGTAGTTAACATCTCGCCACCGTCGCGCCCCGAAGTCTACTCACATGGCTGGGAATACAACACGAGACGAAGAATAATGTATTTAGCAGGGAACAGGGACGCACCCGAGCGTAGACTGAGAGGTGGGCTTAGAATGAGGTGACTCAAAGTGGTGGGCGAGGATGTGACAGACTGTGGAGTGGATGTGGATTTGATGGTCCAGAACAGGATAAAGAAAGGCAGGAAGGCAGATCCTTCATGAGTTGGGAAAAATTCTAGGAGGAAGAGAATAGGAAATCTATCAGTGAAGCCACCCAATCCTGCTACTGTCCATAGTCATGGGTTAGTGTGAAAATTCCCTTTAAAATAAAATATGGATTTTTTTTTTTAAACAGGACGTATGATTTGTGTGGTGGCAGTTACGCCACATTTAAAAGCGGCGTGTGAAGTGGCCATCGGCCAACAGGTAGCCGAGCGTGGTGTTTTATTTGATTAATTTCACGCTGTCAGAATCGCCCAAATGGCCGTTCCTGTATCCCGCTGAAGCGAAACTCCCCCACGAGGCATGCACCCCGCCTCTCTGTGACCTCCAGCCTTTAACCTCGAGCTCCACACGGTCACGTGACCGCCGGTTAATCGCGATATGAATAGCCTTAGCAGATGTCGCAGCACACGTGAACCAATGCCTTCTCCGTATGTTGGGCTTTTATTTTGGAATCCGTCGGCTAGTAAAACTTATCTTTCAGTAAAAAAAAAATTTGAGCAAAACCTCCATTACCTCTTTTCCTGTGAACATTTGCACATCAATCTTTTGGCGTGTTTTTTTATGTATTTTGTGTAATATTTAAAAGCTTGTTATAACATCTGGCAGATGTATTCATTGCACCGTGATGCATCTTAGCGGAATTTATTTCCATTGGAACGTTTACCTCAATTACATTCGAGTTATGACTGAATATTTACTTTACTTTTTACTAGACAGCTTGCATGTTCGTTCTTCTAAAATTACTCAATTACAATAGGTCCCGGTGCATTTTATTTAACATATCTGTTATCTATCCATAATATGTATGTTGAATTTCTCATGGGTATAAACAACCATTTTAAATGAATATTAACATCTTTGCATGTTCATCATGAACACTGCCTCACAACAGAAATATTTGAAAGGCCAATTTTGTTGGAAATTGGCCTTAAGAATAAAAACATGAACCTACTTTGTATTTTCCTCTGGTATGTTTGGAAGTCTAAATGATGCACATGGTGAGTTTTGAGATGGTTTTTGTTTTAATTGTACCCTACTGCCAATGCTTTTGTTTCCTTTTGCAAAACACTCTAAATCATCCGATAATATGTCCACTATTCATTTGTGTTTGATAATCAAGTCTGTTCGTCTTCAAATCTGTAATGCCGTTCTTTCTTTTGGCCTATTGTTTTGCAAGTGGTTGCGGTAAAAAAAAAACTAGCACGGTCATTCCCAGGTCTTGGAATGCCTCTTTGTGTCCATGCTATAAGTATTTACATGGCTTGGCACTCCTTCGTCCGCTTGATAAGAGTTGGAAAGTTGTGAAGGCGTGCCAAGGTTAATACAAATATCAAATGGGAAGGGGTTCTCCGTGCTCAAATGAGCATGGGGTGGCACATGCATCTCCATTGTCAGCTCTAAGCCAGTGGTCAGAAAGTCCACATTCCCATGACGAGGGACAGATTATGTAGAGCACAACCAAGCGTTGCTTTAACAGCAGAGTGTAACTCATTTGATCGACCCTGTATGGATGATGGGCTGAGTCTACCCTTGACCGGCATTCAAATACTCAACCATCCGATTATTTGTCTGATTGCACCACCAAATTGAATGTCCGCGTCGTGAGTTGGTAGTTTAAGCACGGGCACCGATTTGCCCAATTCGCAATTATGCGAATTATAGCGATTCGGCATCACGATCTAATTCAAGGATTAGTTATGTTTTTGAGCGTTGGTGTGAATGCAGCACCTCTTGTGGCTGCAGGATTGACGTGAACCAACCGCATAGAAGACTATGGGTCACAACCAACTCCGAAACGTACGATTACATGCATGTATTAAAAGCATAGCAATCAATTGTAGTCCATGAGTGGGTAACTTAACAGCTACTTTGGGATGCTGGTGTGGATTTTTTTGGGCTGTGTTTGGCTAATAAGGTTCGCTCGGTGTTTTAGCAGAGTTGTCCTTACTCTGGCCTCCTGATGATGAGATTTGCACGTGTGCCCTCCGATGGGCAGTGACGCCAGGACCGTGAAATTCCGCCCCGATCCGTGTTAAACCCGTTAGAGAGCTTCCGCAGCGTCCCTGCTACACTCATTCTCTCAGCGCTCGACTGCCTGTCATCAAACAGCCATTCTCACTTGCGTAGCATTTCAACTTTTTAAAACAACGTGCATATTTTATCTTTTTTTAATCTTGACCAAACCGGGCAGATGGCACTGTGGCAAGAGCCACCTGACTTCTGATACCCTAAAAGGGAAAAAAAACACACACAAAAAACGGAATAGTTGGCATTTCGTCCAATGGCCCTATTTCATTTATATGCTATGAAGAAGAGCCATTGCCTGAAATATTGCCTATTATATAGATTTTGATTTAAAGCTTTCGTGACTGCAGGGATTCATATTCTTGGTTCTTTCGGTAAAGTCACGTAGAAGGGAAACAATAAAATAATAAAAATATAAAACAATAAAATTCTCACGACGTTTCGACTGCAACACAAGCAATCATCATCAGGTGTGAAAACCACAGCACCTGACTTCTTGCAATTTGCTGTGGTTTTCACACCTGATGATGATTGCTTGTGTTGCAGTCGAAACGTCGTGAGAATTTTATTGTTTTATATTTTTATTATTTTATTGTTTCCCTTCTACGTGACTACCGAAAAAACCAAGAATATTATGTAGATGTTTTACTTTAGGGGAGTGATGTTGACGAATGTTACATTTTTAATTCTCATTCAGAAACTTGCAGGTTCAAATCCCATCATCTCTCTGTGGTCAGTAATATTTGAACAACTTTTTGGGGAAGTAAATAATGGTTGCCCCTTCTGGATAGCGAGTTCCTTCCAAAACGAATGTGGAATTTCCACCGCTGGCGTAGGGCTGCCAACAGAGATGAACACGACCCAAAGCTTATTTGAGCATTGAGACGCTGACTGTGACGGGTCTGTAGCAGTTTGGGGAAATTGTTGCTACTTTATCAATGAGCTTTCCCCTCTTGTACATGAGGGCCTTGAGCAGAGCAAATATTTTCAATGTTAAACCATCCTCTTACCTTTATAAAAGCCCGGTGTTACGTTTGTCCATCTACTAAATTATAAGAGCCTTTCTGAAGGTTCTGAATCAAAAAAATATAGAAAGTGGACCCCCCCCCAATTTTTTTTAAATTTGTAGGCATATATGCCTACATAGCCTACATACAATAGAGTCAGTAGTGTCTGCACACATTGCAGGTGGGGGGGGGGGTGAGAAGAAGAGGACATCAGTGGTGGCGAGAAGCCCTCCGTAAGAGCTAGGATAAGGCGGCCGACATTCTGGCGTTTTAAATGGGTTATCAATTGTGTGCTGTGATGTCATTTGCGAGCTGTCTTCATTGCAAGTTTACGAAGAAAAGTGTTTATTATTTCCAACAACTTTCTATCCTCGATCTCATTTAGTTGAGAACAACAGCAAAAACCCTATGTTTCACAATAAATACAAGCAGGGAATATCTTAAAGGAGGCGGCAAATCTGCGTTTATCTTAAAAACGCCGATAATCGCGTAAAAATATGTACGGCAACTAACAATGCTGATGACAAAAAACAATTGAAACGAGAAAAAAGGGCCCATTAGTCTGCCAACGCCTCAATTATTTAATTACACACAAAGGCGTGTTTGTCATTGTTCACGCAGCTGTGGGATATGCCGAAGTGGTTCAGAATGCACACACCACATGTCTCGGATTTCTTGACTGCTGCCCTAAGTATTTTTCGCGGGGGCGTTAACCGTCCTGTGGCAAAAACCTGTCGCTGAAGCCGTGCGCTCTCTCCTGTACTGCTCAGTCTGCACCGAATTACCAATCCCGCGGATTGTTTGCCTTGGAGTAAATACCCATGGACACTTTCATTAATCACGAGACGCATGCCTGTAATTAAAGGAGACGTTTGCTCAGAGTGTGCGCGTTTAACCCAAAGGCAACGTCTTGTCGGTTTGATAGGGTCCCTGGCATTGTCATTATAGGCTTTAAGCTTACCTGTTGGGAGAGATGACTGTTATGGGGATTATCACATGGTTTTATTAAATAATTTGTTTAAATTATTTAACCATGGAGGAAATCAGGGATATACAATTTTCGTTCTTATTGGTAACAATATTGCTGCTCTGCTGAACATTGCTTGGGATCCAACGATGCTTGTGGAGAGCTCTTGCCTGTAACATCAGGCATTTGTTTTCGCAGGCCCACAGCCTGCTGATGAGACTCGGAGAAGTAGAGACACCAGTCGTTTAAACCACCAATGCTAGTGGAAAACAATCGTCTGTAAGCTCCCTTAGCTGATAGACTAAAGCATTATGTTTTGTATGGTGAGGACATAAAACCCCTTACATGATCACAAGCCCTGACATTTGAAGGCCGATTTTACAACAAAAACATACCGCTTTCCTTACCGTAGAGCTTGTTGTTCGTGGTTCCTTCCCTGTCGGGTGCAGCAAGGATACTCGAGAATGCCTGAAACTTCATGGTTTGGCCCCTTTAAGACTTAATTTGTCCCCCACATGCTTCCTGCATTTGTCTTCACTTTAAAAACTATTCCCAATTCTCAACTCGGCAAAAAAACAAATCGGTAATGGGAAGAGAGTTTAGGAATTTCAGAAACCCCCGTAGGATTAAAACGTGAAGACTTTTGGTCATGGTGAAAGGTCATAGGTGGTACATTGCTCCTCATTGTGCTTTAGTTCCTCGTCAGAATAAGGATTTGCAAGTATAGGACGCTTGCCTAAATCCCTCAGCAACTCAATGCGCCTTGCATCACGTCCCGTCTCAATCATTCCAATGCCCAGCTTTAGTCTTTTATTTTTCCACCTAGCGGGGACCCCCTAATGGCAGATATCCCTGTGCGGCACAACACAGCACGGGTGTGAAGGTTGGCATTTGTCTAGTTGTAGGGAGCGACGTTGTTAACGAATTGCCAAAGAAAGTAATTGGCACATTTTTATCATGAGCCCTTTGCTCTGCTCTGCACAGCAAATTGTTTTGAGGCAGTGGCCGTGACTGGAGGAATCCGATGAGGCATGAACCTCTTTTTTTCACAGAGGCCCAGTCGGGACCGACTCTCAGACGGACTCGCGACGTTTCTTAGGTCTCGCGAACATGTGCCGTGAGGAGTCGGTGCATTTGTGATGTGATGCAGTGAGCCATTTAAGAAAAGCAAAATCATGCCAGTAGCATCTCCGATGCCCATTGCTGTCTGGGTCACAATGTGCTCATCTCGCCGCACGTCGTCGTCTCCACGAATTTCCCGACCCCCTGCAGTGAGCTGACGCGAAACCGCATCAAGCGAATCGAGAGCCTGAGCTTCTTCGGTCTCGAGTCGCTGCAGTCGCTCCGTCTGCAGCGCAACAACATCGGGCGTCTGATGGACGGTGCCTTCTGGCGGCTGGAGAAGCTGGAGATCTTGTAAGTGTCTGCGAAAGGGCTCGTTTTACCAATATTTATTTTGCTCTCTTTTCCTCTTCGGTGCTGCAGATGTTTGGTTAATTTATCGCTGGCCGTAGTCATAACGTCAATCCGTTTATTATAACTTTCTTTGTTTTACCCTGGAAAGCCTTGCCAAGTGTCGGGACTCTTGTATTCACTAGGATCATGCACTGGGTTGTTTGGTCAATTCCTGTTGATGTGTAATTCTAGTAGAAATGCAATAGCAGTTGTGTTGCAGATACCATGGATGCACATGGAAACATTCAAAAGTTGTATACCCTGTGTAGGCTGTTGGGGAAAGTGCTGTTAGCGAGCACCTATTAAGGCTAAAAAACAGCGCTTTGAGGAGTTGGTCTAATCAAGCACCCACACCCACCCACCCTTATATCTCTAATGCTGATGTTTACCAAGGCCCAAAACCCGTCCGGTTATCACTCGCCACTGATGTTAGCCATGACCTGGAATCAATCTCAGACAGCCGGATTCATAGTGCGGTGCAAACACTTGCGTCACCACTCCTTGCAGGATTCGTATCGCAAGGCTGTCTTGACACACACCTGAAAGCTTCACGAATGAGAAAAATAATTGGCAGTCATAGTCACGTGATTTTAGCTTTACAGCCAGGCTAGACACCCCCCTCCCTCCACTCATCTCCAAAATGTGAGAGCCCCGTGATATCAATGCGAGTGGTGGTGGTGGTCTTGGTCGCACGAACTCCGGTCATGCTCGCAGCGGCTTTTGGCGAGCAATCAAATAAAGACGGTCACTGCATCGCGGCCATCTGGAACGCTCTTTCATCCGACATTAAGAAGCCACTGGAGCTATGCATTTTCAAATCTAGATTGAAAACACATTTCTTTAGGACTGCTTTTTTGTGTTTAGACTGTTGTCCTTCCCCCACACCTCCAATTAGCGTGGTTGGCTACGTACAGTGTGGAAGTTCAACATACATAGGTGGACATATCTGGTTCCATCGATACACTATAGCATAGGTATCAGGCCCACGTTGTGGTGATAGGCAGCGACTCGTTCTCCCTCCGCAGGCATTTGGACTTCAACGCGCTGACCAACGTGACCAAGGGCTGGCTGTATGGCCTCTCCTCCCTGCAGCAGCTCAACATGAGCCACAACAACGTGTCGCGCATCGACCTCGACGCCTGGGAGTTCTGCCAGAAGCTGGACGAGCTGTGAGTGCGGCGGCGGCGGCGGCGGCGGCACAGCGTGGCATTAACCACCCCACTCACTGGCACATCACTTCTGACGTGAGACGATATAAATCGGTTCCCGTGCAACAGTTCTGTCATGATTTGGTGACACTATGCGATCGAAGAGCTCCGCTTCGTTCGTGCCATCCATCTCGTTCCACCGCCCGAAGTTTAACGTTTACGTGCAATTCGCAACGAATGGCAAATAATAAAATTGCTCACGCTCTCTCCCTGCGTGTGTTACGATCACAGGAATCGATTTAAATGATTTCAATCCGTGTATTTGGACGTGCCCGGCGTTGAGTCGCGTGCGTTGTTGCCCTTGGTTCCTCTTGTCCAAAGGGATCTGTCGCACAACCACCTGAGCCGTATCGAGGAGGGCACCTTCGTGGGGCTGGGCATGCTGCGCTCGCTCCTGCTCGCTCACAACCACCTGAGCAACATCGCCGACGGCGCCTTCAAGGAGCTGCGCAGCCTCCTCACGCTGTGAGTCAGGGGTGGAGAGCCTCTTTTTTTTCTTTTACTTTACCGAGGGCTCAATAGGACGTTCACATCGCTTTTGGCGTGTGAGGTGGTGGCCACCGTATGTCAGTGGACACACAGCTTGGTCACTTCTTCCGTAACTGCCAGTTGCAGTTAACTCGTCTAGCAGCTCCAACCAAGACGGCTCAAAATCCACGTGGCCCTGTGGGGGTAGTGTTTGACTCTTAAGTCGGAAACGTGCAAGTTCATGCATTGGTCTGGAATGGATTAAATGAGTTCAACTTTGTCGGAGGTTGTTGTCTAGTGCTTCTACTCCCCACCAGAGGACTCTAGCATTTCCACTGAACAGTGGCTCAGGGCCGCCCATGGACAGGAACAGAGTCAAAAGCATCAAAGTCTTGTGAAAGTTTCTGCTTCATAGAGCATGGGATAGTGATCCACTCTACCTGTGGACCTTAAACAGTGGTGAAAAACTGTATTCCTGTGATGGGAGGCCAGTCTTTCTGTAGAACAAACCACCGTAGACTTGCCACAAAGGTGTACGTCTTTTACTGACCTAAGTTGACCCACCACCAGTGTATGGATTCACGACCTTCTGACGTTAAGTTACGTGACGCAGTCGAAACGATTTGCATGCATCGCGTACGGATTTCATATGCATGACAAAATCGACGATCACGCACGTCTGTTCTACGCAAACATGAGTCAAACGGAGACCTTAACGGTATTCCCAGCGGCTGGCTAATTCTTCCCCATGCGTGTGCCACTGTGACCCATCGCGGTGAAGTCCAAAACTACAAGGCGGCCAATTTAGCCCCGATTGCCACCTCAAAAGGGTCTGCAGGCGATTAAGTGTGACGTTCCGCTCGCGTTATTAGTTCAGTGTGTTAAAGCTCTTTTGCCAGGCCTTGCTGACGCATTTCTTGGCGTCCTTAACGCTCACCGGGTTCAACCCAATAAGGAGGGCCTGTGTGTGCGGCTACGTGCGTGCCCACAGCCCCGCCGACAATAGGAATAAACATGTTTCAGCCCCCTTAGCAACTGCTCGTTTTGAAATTCCCATAGGTGCAATTAAGGTGTTGTGTGTGTGTGCGCGCACGCACGCAAAACCGTACTGGCTGTATTTTTGCACGCGTGCTCGCATGCACGCGCGCGCCGAAAACACGGTGTTCAAAGTCCGCCTCTCTGCACGGTCTGCATCGCTTTTATCCGTGGTAAGTGCTCTGCTGTTTCAACGGCCGTCATTGAACCGCACTTTTCGACTCATTCGTAATTTCGCATTACCACAGCGCGTATGGGCGTCTGCCGCTGGGCCGTCGCAATGTGCAGTGGCTTCCTGGAGCAACGAACTGAGTGGCAATGGTGAAACTAGAGTTGCCTTCACATTACCTAGACCTGGACCAAATGAAAACTCGCCAGCCTTGGCAATGACACTGCGTTGGGTAGGCGATTGCATGTTGTAAACGTTAGCCTAGCATAGTGGTGCAGGTAGCTATGCTGTATATATACATATATACACATACAGAATGAACATTACCATGCTCTATGTTCCTTTCGACGTGTAGGTTGTATACCAACGTTCACTGCACAACTGTAACTGGGCGTCGCCATTCTCCTGCAAGAGTAGCCAGAGCTGTGGCATCGGCGTACTTGAACGTGTGTCGGCTTTCCTGAATCACGTGGACAAGCAGACTTAGACGGGGCGCCACGGTGGCGAGATGTTAGCTACCTCGCCTGGTTTACAGGAATTCGTGGGTTTGATCCCAACGCTTTGACACCTGCTGTATATTTGGAGTTTGCGTGTTCTTCCTGTGGTCGTGTGTATTTTTCTCCGGGTTCTCCAGGTTTTTCCCTCCACAGTTCGAATCAGAGTGCGTTTAGAGTATTTGGCTGCTATTAATTTCCAGGTGATGAGAAGCCACTTGATTGAGCTATCATTTGTGATAGACAGGTCGCTTCTGAAAAACAAGCTCAGTAGCTCAGCGGGCCTTACCTGATAAAATCGAAAGTTTGTCGATTTTCTTTAGGAGCGCACGGAGAGGCTCCTTGCGCACTCGTGATTTGTCACGGACCCAAGGCAACCGTTCTCACACGATCTCTCGGTCGTGATGCCGGCCCTATGGCCACACCACCTGTTTGATCATCAGCATTTTAATCGGGGCAAGTAAAATAATAACGGGGTTGTGTCTAGAGTGTGTGTGACAGCGCGGCAAAAGCATAGTAGATTTGAATTGGCGAGAGGACAATCTGATCGGTGGCGAACATGTGCAGAATAAGAGGGTTGGGTGCCAATACATGCATTGGAGTGGCATTCAAGGGGAAAACTAAACCATTTTTATTTTACCAGGTAAGGCCCACTGAGCTATATAGCTTTTTTTCAGAAGTGACCTGTCTGCAACGAAGTGGCTTGTGTGGGGATTTATCGCAGCCAAATACTCTAAACTCATGTTTGTACATGTGGAGGGAAAAATCGGATGTACCCGGAGAAAAATCCACGCAACCACAGGGAGAACATCCATACTCCAAATATACAGATGTTTGGATTGGGATTGAACCCACAACCTCCCGTATACCGGGCGAGGTAGTTCACATCTCGCCAACCGTAAAAGAGCTAGGAGACCAGCTGGTCGGATACTGTGACAGTGGACCGTGGAGGTCAGATGTTGACATTGCAACAGCTGCGGAGTATGGCAGAAGGAAAGAAGTGATGGCGAGTTGTGATGGCATTTGTTGCATTGGCCAGATGATCTGTAGACTTTACAAATCTATTCACATATCATACACCATGCTACTGCCCACATGCCCTGTAAATAAATACACACCCACAGTTATCACCATTGCTCATAGCGAGTTGCGAAAAATCGCCGCTCGTTACAAAGATACCGTTTTTACACTTAAGCGTGGCGCCTGCTTTTTTGTTAGCCTTTAATGCGCCATTGAGCAATGAGGGTGACCAGTGTCTCAAATATTGTGTGGGTTAATTGCACCATGCAACCGCAACACGTTCAGCAATTGTGTTCACCTGAACCAAATATTTCTTTCACAAGCCGCATACCTTGCATGCCTTGCCCCGTTTCGGCACGATCATTGCGCGCGTTTGACGTAAATGCCAAGTTCTCGTCGCGTTTTCCCGCAAGCCGCGCTGTATGTACGTGTCTGCTCCTGCCCCCACCCCCCCCCCCACCTTCATCACCTTTCACACTGCCTTAGGAACCTTGGCAGATTGTCATGCAATTCACCTTCACCAATTGTTGTACGGTGCCCGTAGCCATTGCAGTAAGTGCCCTTGCAAATCGGTCAACATTCAAAACAGTGTCTTCCTGCTCCAAGGAGCAGTGGGGCCGTGCTTATTGTCTCTGCTCGCTGCACTGAGGCAGTGCAGGAAATTCTACGTTTCCAGTGGGGGTCAACCCTTGTCGTGCTTATTTTATTAAACCGTGAAACTTTTACCCGCACCTCCGAATAGCACGGTTGGCTACGTACGGTGCGAAAGAAGTTCAACACCATACAAACTTGGGCAGCTGAACGTAGTTTGGTGGAATGACAGTCTGTTCGCGAGCTGCAAGCATTCCTCGTCGACTGCGTTACAGTTCTTTGCCAATCACTTGAAATGGGAAGGCTTTCATTGAATGTCCGAGAGGTAGAACTCTTGAGAAAGGGGTGGTTATTCGGTGCCAGCAAAGAGGAGAGAGTGGGGAGAAGGAAAGCCAAGAGAGAGACACACACAAACCTTTACGGGGGGGCCTCTTTCTGTGTCAAGAGTCTCGAGTGGGAAAAAAAGAATTGGGAGCAGGCCTGCGTTGATTAAGTGCCATTGTTGGGAGGAAATGACGGGAGGCAGTGGGTGTGAAAGTGGCATGGACAGGCGGCCATTGAGGCCTGGGGGGGGTCGGCTTTGGGGCAGCGTACGGCCCCGGAGAGGAGAGAGGCTCTGATTAACGCTCGCGCTACCCCACGGCCATTTGCGTCCAGCCAGCCATGAAGGCACTCCGATTAGGGTGTGTTTGTTTGCGCGGTGGGGCTGGGGATTTCGTTTTGCGGTAGCGACGGTGAAGGTGGCAGGAGAGGGGTTGTGGGGGGGCGGGGGGGGAACCCTTTTTGTCGTGTGCAACAACGAGAGCCACCCCTGTTTAGAACAGTAGTTAAGCCAATCGTCGGGGGGGGGGGGGGGGGGGGGGTGCCAGGCTGCTGTACGGATACCGTGCAGGAAACATTTTTGATTGCGCGTGAGCGAATGTCAGCGCCGCCGCATTGCGGCAACAAAAGGTGTAATGCTTCAGGTTACAGATCCCTTACTTCTTCACCCTGTGTTGACTAGAGGTATGGACAAGTGATCTTTTTGAATAGTGACCCGAGTACCTTGGGGGTGTGGGTGCTCGTGGTCTTCATTGGGGAGCTACGAACGGTGAGAACCACTGGGAATACACTTAAACGAGTTCGGCCTTTTCTGCTCAGGGGTTTTTCATTCGAATCGAGTCAATTCGGAGTGTCCTGCTTCTCCAACAAGTAATGGGGTGGGGTGGGGGGGTATTTGACTTGGATAAAAGTGCCCTGAGCCAACGCAGGAAATTCAACATTCCCGCGGTGGGGGCGAGTAAATATCTATGACAACAACAACTTGCATTTATATTGCACATCGTAATGGCATGAGCGTCCAGGAGCGCAGTTTTTAGCCGGGAGGACCACCAGTTGATGGATATCCCTCTGCGGTACAAGATGAACGTCCAATGTTGACTTCCTTGCAAATGGTTCTTATTTTATCTGCTCAGCGGGCATTATGGGCCGAATTGACGCCCAAGAAGAATTTTAACTGGTAACCTTTCACTTCGCAGACAAGTTTACTTTCCACAGCGCAATCCCATCCAGCCTACCTGCCCCTCAGGCCACTGCCAAAATGAGATTATACGCTTTGCGAGTGGCCTAAAGTATGCTTTTACATTGAATTATAGAATGGAAACACTTTGCCGTACGCAGTTACATTTGGGTGACAGTATTTTCCTTACAATTTAATGCGATAGTTACAATTGGACGACAGTATTTTACTCACGAATACGTGCGATAGTCCTTTATTTTTACACAAAAGTGTGTAGCCAAGTCTCGAGATATTCTCCAATTGAACTTAGAACCAGCAACCTATTTGCTGTTCTGCCACCTCCTGGCCATCTCTTCGCCCTGCAGATTGGAAAACTTGTTAAGATGATCAACAACACCCCGCCCACGTGCATAATTGTAACGTTTACGTTCAACATCAACGGTCTAAAATAAAAATGACTTTGGATTTATCTGCAAAATGATTACAATTCGTGTGTAACTGAACATGGTATGAACATTCAACTTGTACTGTTTGTGTTCAGTACTCATTTAAAGTGAGACTGATTGAATGCATAAAACAAGGATATTTTTTGTTACTTTGACAATATTTCCCATCAAAAACATTATCCTGCCAACATTATGCAACGCATGTGAAAACATTACCATGGAAGACTGCTGGGAATTTTGGCTCGGGAGTAAGCTGCTGCTGCTGCTGCTGCTATTTGTCTTATTTTGTTTTCTCGTGTGCCTGTTAACAGAGATCTGGCAGGGAACGAAATCTCTTGGACAATAGAAGACATGCACGGAGCCTTCACAGGCTTGGAAAACCTCAACAAACTGTGAGTTCTCAAATAAAACACATACACGCAAGTGGGCGGCATAGGCACAACCATAAATGGCCTGGCAACCGTTGTCTCGCCCAGTGCTGATGTTGAGACCACATCAGGATTTTCGGCTGAGTTGACCTAGGGGTGGCGTATGCTAGGTTCATAATACAATTTTCCACTGATGATGATGGATGTTCGGACTGGGAGTCAAATATGCATTGCCGTGATAAAAGCACAGAACGACTAACCGCCTCAGAGACAAACGCTGGCCGTGAAACCTTGCAGAGCACCGGGGCAAGTGCTGTTATCGAGCACCTGGCAAGATCAGCACGGTACGCAAGGTGGTGGGGGTGGGGGGTTCTTGAGGCCAGGATCAAGCATACCCAGCCGTATTTGTCTTCTCAGGACTAATATTCACACACCGCACCGGCACGAAGCATTATACTAACAGTGCCAGAAAAACACACGCAGATGCATGTACACAAGCACGCACGCTAGCAATCAATTTCCTGGAATTGCGTTGACTTTACACCCGGCTGTGCAGGAAAAGTAGCCAGACCTACTCCCACCTCCTTTGGCAGGGCCGTCGTGAGGAATGCTGCACCTGTGCCACCTGCGCCCCCCAATTCTTTTTATTTTGATGTTGAGTCAAGGGGCAGTCCTGTTCTCAAGCTGTTGTTTCGTGAAGTTCTGATTTTCAATCGGCGTTAGCTCAGCGATGCATTTTTCAGATTGTAAACTCTTCTCGGGTGTACGCCGTGAGTCATTTTGCACCACATTTGGCAACATTTAATCGGTTGAAGTAAGAGCTGAGTGAAGGAAAGTCTACGACAGGTTTTAGGTGCTACTTAGAACTAACTGTTATGCATGGGCCAAGAATCGAATCTTGGTTGCTGTGATAGAAACGCAAGTGTGCAAAGAACTGCAGTACCAGTCTCCGCACGCACACGGAAGAAGAAGAGTGGGAAGTCTCCGACGCTCGGTGAAATGGTCTGCATTCGAGAGACAGAGGTGGCCAGCTTTTTGTTTGGCCATCCTTTTCCACGCCTGAGCCACTCTGGAACTTTGTGAGGTGTTCACGAGGAGCGCTTGCCCCCTTTGGTTTAGAGAGCTGAATAGAGAATCTTGTTTTTGAAACGAGTGTGTATATGATCATGGGGAGAGCACTTGTGTAGTGGTTCAACAGTAGTGTGGCTTCCATCCTAGAAAACCTGGGTTCAATGTCCTTGAGCAATAACTGCAATCGACAGTTGGAGCCAAAAGCCTCTTTTGGTCTCCCTTAGGTTGACTGCCTAAACTGGGGATCTGATGAGGATGGAGAGGTAGATGCAGGCGATTCAGCATGCTGCTGCTGCTCACATCCATCCCTCATGTGCCTTGCTGGCCCGAATAGTTGCTCGTGAAGCCACGTCCGTTCCAGTGCAGTTGTCCGTATGTCTAAATGAAGAAATGAATGTTGAAGCATTCAGTACAAGACGTTTTTATAACTCCTTTTACGTGAATATATGTAAGCAACGCTTGGACAATGCCTAACAATTACAATAACCGTCGATCATAATCTATGCTTCAGCCAAAGTAGAAGTTGTAATCATACTGTATTTCCATAACACCACCACCCTACAATTGCCATCCATTGGTTGTATGAACATCATAACACACATTAAAGATGATAGAGTGCACACTAAAGCTATGAAGTTATTTCAAGTTAGACAAAGAAATAAAGAAAACTTAAAATAACCGTCTTGTGAGTTGTAATAACAGTCATTTAGCACAGTTTGTATTCGTGCGATTCTTAGAATGCAAGGGTATCTCTAAGGCGCTATGTTTCAGACGGGTTTAGTCTGCAAGAGGGGGCTGATCCCAGCATTTGTAACCCACGCTTTTTTGAAGAGCTTCACGGGAACCTTGACATCCATCGTGAGGCAGACGGCACCTGTTTCTGGGTTAAAACACCCGCGGTATTAACCAGGGCGGCCGTGAGGCTTGAACCACGAAACCTCTACAGCAAGTAGCAGACAAAAGCGCCCACCCCTCTGCCACATCAAGTCGTACGTTGGTGCGTCAATCCGCACACGCGGCATTAACTAGGGCGGCCACTGCGCGCTGGAACCGCAAACCCTTTGCGTTAACGCGCTCGCCCCCACGTCTCCCTCCCCCTCGCGTCTTTGGGGAACAAAGCTGTCCCCGCGAGGTGGACGGCTTGCAGTGGAAGAGGCAAAGCAGCAGCGCGGCAGTGGTTTGGGTGGTGGGGAAACACGTGTGGTGTGTGTGTGTGTCTGAGCGAGTTCTTGTGTCTGCTTGGCTGGCCGTGTCTCTTGGAAAATGTAAGCACAGGCACCTGCAGGAAGTGTGAGAGCAACACTGGCTTTGCGCAGCTGTCGTCCTCCTCCACGCAGGGCCAGATTTCAACAAACAACCAGAGAAGAAGAAATACCAACTCGACTGATTAACATTCTCCAGATTGCTTCAACACCTGTCACAGGCTGGACATCTGCGTGCGTGCGTGCGTTCGCGCGCACACGCAGGCACGCTCGCAAGCAGACCAGTGTGGAAGAAATACGTAAAAATATATATAATGGCACAGGATGCAAAGGAAAAACGGTCAGATGTTTGATGGTGCAGTTCATGTGTTGCATAGGTCGGCTTTTGTGATAATTTGTTAGTGTAGTGAATGTATCGGTTTTTTTTTGTTTATTTCCAAGTGTAAGAATTTGTACAGGTTCGACTTGAAAATTTCTATTTACCCACATCACAGTTTGGACTTATAAAGCATCTCAAATGTGACAGATTTTATAGATGGCAGACAACATTGGGATGTGTGTGTATCAAGGCGATCTGAGAAAATGTTTTTTTTTCTCCAGCATTTTCCTGCCTGCCCTTAAAGGCAAAGAGCGAGAATGTTTGATTATTGTTACCAAAGTCCACAATTTCTTAGACGCACGTTTATTCTTGTATTTTAAAGCAAAAGTTGGTGAAGCCACCCACTGAAGGAATCTACAAGTTTGGTGTGTGTGTGTGTATATAATCACTGACCGGCGGTTCAAGCACCAAGCCACAGTCAAGCCACAGCATCAGTAATCAGTAATATCTGGACCTGTTCTGGGCATTCCCGTAGGTGAGCTCGGTCGTAAATGAGTGCCTCGTGCATTGTGTAAACAAGGGCACTGGGAATACTAAAGGTGGCCAGCTGTGGCGTCAGCCATACCCTGAATAGGTGCTTGCTATAACAGCACTTGCCCCTACAGTCTGCACAACTATATGGTGAATAATTACCTGGGTGTATATGTACACCGTGAAAAAATGGCTTCACGTGGATTAGACTCGAGGGCAAAGTTGACGTGGTGTTTGGAGCTAGCTTTGTCGACACATGGCATGCTTGGGCGATCGTTAGCGCCGTGTTGGCAAGCTCGGGTGTCTACAGCTCCTATTCCTTGGCTCAGCCGGTCCAGCGAGTGTTGTTTTGGTTTCTTTGTCCTTTTCATGGCTCTTCGTTTCAAACAAAAGGACCACTTTGAAAAATCCTCGCGCCTGTCGGTGCGGCTGAAGTGCCTGCAGAGGGAAAACAAATCCACGTTTTGAGATGAGTCGTGCCAATGAGATAAGACGCTACGCATGGCTGTGAGCTGCGAAGGTAGACGGTGTCACAAGGCAAGCCCCATCACAGTGGAGACATTGATCAACAATTCTGCCCTGTCCACTTGTGACATTCAGGATTTGCTTTGACACTTTTGCCTAGAAGAGACCATTGTTTAGTGGCGTCGTACGAAGATTACCCTGGGTTAGACCCGAGACATTTCTTACATACGTAGCCGCTTGCTGTGGACAACTCAGCATTGTTAACCAGACGTTGTGCGAGTTCTAGAAACAAGTTATTGTCTCCCTTCTCGAATGGGGAAATAGTGGCGCTCATTTATCCGTTGACTGCCCTGAGCGAGTGGAGGGAAATTCCACATTCTCATGGCGGGGGATCAGTCTCTCAATGTGGACTTCGCATGACACTCCACAAACTGGTGCTCTTTTAATGAGCCTGGGGGGATGATGGGTTGAGTTTGCCCGCAAACCGGTTATTTAAGCTTGTAACCTTCCAATTGTCACATAACAATGAGCAGATACCATAGCAAAATAATGCTAATGTTAAAAGTACTAAGCAAAGCAGTTTAGTAAGTTACATCAAAAATAAGATTGCGTTATTTGTTGATGGTAACATACGTTGGTGTAGGAAGCATTCGCTTGACACTGCAAACTGTAACGTTTTCATTTTTTTTTACTTGTAACACAGTACTTTTCTACAATTTAATTTCTAATATTTTTACTACTTGCAATTTTAGCTGTCATTGAAAGCAAATGCCCCACTCGAAATGTCAGAGCCCTTAAGCTAACCTGAGATGATGCGAGGGCTTTCTACATGTCAGTCTAATGTGTCTAAATTGAATTATGCCTTCACCATCATCATTTATCTTTCATTTTCTCTATTCATTTTCGACAGCTCTTCCTCCCCATAATGTGCATTTCAGACGGTTTCCTTTTAGAAATATAACACGCTAACCCTCCGCGTTGTAAAACGGTGATGGGGTCGTCATTTTACAATGAGCTTACATTTATTACCGACTTGAATCTTCAACAATATATATTCATGCATAGGAAATCAACAAGGGCGGCAATTGTATTCGTCCATTTGGTTGTTGGTGCAGTTACGTCAACATTTCAACCGAACAAGGAAGCGATAAGAAATTGTATTTGTGTAGGTTTGTTATCCCCCTTATTGCTTGTTCTTGACTTTCTTCATAGCATTGTATGCGCCTTGAAGAAGCATTTGTATGTGCCATGAAGAAGCATTGTATGTGCCTTGAAGCATTGCATGTGCTATGAAGAAGCATTGCATGTGCTATGATGAAGCATTGCATGTGCCATGAAGAAGCATTGAATGTGCCATGAAGAAGCATTGTATGTGCCTTGAAGCATTGCATGTGCTATGAAGAAGCATTGTATGTGCCATGAAGAAGCATTGTATGTGCCATGAAGAAGCATTGTATGTGCTATGAAGAAGCATTGTATGTGCTATGATGAAGCGTTGCATGTGCCATGAAGAAGCATTGAATGTGCTATGAAGAAGCATTGTATGTGCGATGAAGCATTGTATGTGCTATGAAGAAGAATTTGTGCTGGGATGAAGCAGTGTATGTGCTATGAAGACGCATTGCATGTGCCTTGAAGAAGCATTGTATGTGTTATGAAGAACATTGTATGTGCCATGAAGAAGGGACCACTTTACGTATTCATAATAAGCCTTAAGATGGCAGTGGAAGGGAGGCGTTCTGTAATATAAACTTGAAATATAGTATAGCCAGGAGAGATCATGCCACACCTAAGATGGGGTAATTTATTTTTCGAGGCACAATGTACATTTGTCATGGGGAAAAATAAACCCAGTGGCCTCCTGCTCAAATGAGAAATGTTTATCACCGCCAGACTTTGTTGGTAATTCCACATTCCGATGTCGTTCTGCAAATCAGTCCGACGTTTTATCAACCGCTGCCTTTTCGATTGCGACTCGTGCACGCCAGTCGTATACAGCGGCGAGCTTGATTGGCTTCCGACGATAAGGGAGATGGCAGCAATTCGGCTTTGACGAGGATATCGCTGCGCGCGCACGCACACACACACACCGGCGCTGGAAAACGGAGGCACGCGAAGCAATTTGTCGAGGGGCCGAGATGGAGTGGCCGGGTGGTGTGTTCGCACCTGTCGACGCACGTCGAGGGAAGAGGTCTTCATCAGTGACATGGGGATGGGCGTTGTCCCCGGGGTAAAACTTAATAGCACGACTTCTTGCCATGAGACCCACAAAGTGGTTTGACAGGTTTAGCTGCATAGTGACACGTGTGTGTGTGTGTGTGGAGCAGAGTGCACACTGGGGAGCTAGCGAAGCAAGCGTTAATTTTTATAGGAATTTAATATTTTAAATGCAAAGTGTGTTCAGGCACAGTCACTTAGTTGTGAACATTGCCTCACGCTCTTTGCTTGATAATTCATGTATGTTCACAATGCCCCTTGATTTACAAATAACGTACTGTTATTAACTGTTATTTTGCATGTGGGAGAGCTGGAGCACCTTGATAAGCCCCAGAATTACCAGGGACTAACACATTCAAGATTAATCCATGCAGTACGACAGTTAATAGCATCCAATGCTGCAAACAGAAAATGTCCAATTCCATTTACAATTTTTTTGTTTTATAGCAAGCACCAACTCCACCTCCCAGCATGCACCCTAATGTATTCAAATTTGTCCGGGTGGTTCAGAGTTGAGCGTGCCTAGCCAGCACTGCTGAGATCCTGGCTTCAAAATCTGGACCAGATGCCCATGATGAAAAGTGGTCTTTCGCAAAGTAACTGAATTGACGTCATCTTTTGGACGCCATTCTTTGAGACGCAGTGGTACACGGCTAGCTGCAAAGTTCCGAATAGAAGTGTGTTTGGCAAATGACAACCCCGACAGCAAGTCGAGTCAAGTTATTGTTGTTTTACATGCGGTGCCTTTTTGGCACAAGTCCGCCATCCAAAGCTCCATCTCATCATTTAAACACATCAACATAACAGCAAGTTGTGGCTTTTTTGGTTAGTTGTTATATGCAAGTGCAATTAAAATGTAATTAGGGGGAAGGAAACAAAATTATTCCAATTGTACAGCAGTGAGAGCTGGGCCTATAAGACAATACATGCGCTTGGTAGTATGACTTTTATCGTACAAGTTGAATCCCTCTAAACATCCGCATGTCTGCCATAGTGTTGGCAACACTCGTCGTATTGAGGTTTGAGAGTCCCAGGCGCTGCTGGCCTTTGTTTCAGGTGTGATTGTTTGAAATGCTTCTGTTATGTGCAGTGCGAAAATAATTCAAGTGTTTTTTTAAATATATTTTTGGCAAACACTTTTATCTTTCACACAGCCCCAGTATTCAGCCACACAGTTCAAACTGCTGCCGTTCTTTACAGACAAACCCCTACGTATTAAAACAGCTGTTTGTTTTTTAATCTATCACGCGCAGTCCACAATTTATTTTACACGTGCCTTGTGCTAAATTTATAAATGCTTTTAACCACAAAAAGACATTTTTTTTTTTACGATCACACCTTGCACACCGTGTTATTACTGCGCCCTGCAGGATAAAATTTGGCGTGCACATCTTCGCATGCGCTCTGTTGTTTCTGGAAAGCAGGTGGTAATGTGACTTATGGGACAGCTTTTTAACATTCCTGCTTGTTTGTTTATCTCTTTGATTCCAGGGTATTGAGTGAGAACAAGATCAAGTCTATTGCCAAGAAGGCGTTTATCGGTCTGGAGAGACTTCATTCCTTGTAAGTTACTCCCGAATGCCTTTTGTCTCTGTTTTGCCGATGAGTAGAATTGTGTAGTCACAGTACGGTTGAGTGGCCCTGTGGTTACATCGCTCAACTCGCAGTCAAAACATGCGTGAGTTTAGAGTCCCAATTCATGGCCGATTGAGCTCTCTGCTCAAGAATTGAGTACCGTTGTGGAAGTGGTACCGGTGTATTGATTCTTGAGCAATGATGAGCAGTGTAAACGGGTGCACCAAAGTTGATCAGCAGGTCGTGCATCAGGGGGGGAAGTGTCATTACTTCCACCTCTTCCAAGGCATCTGGGCCAGTGTGGAAGAGTAGGCTAAAATACCCTTCTGCCAACAGTTGAGTGAGTAAAAAATTGCAGGGCTACACCTTTAACTTACATATACTGCTGCTGCCACGATTTTAAAATGTAAAAAAAAAATGGGAAAATTAACTGATGACTATAAAGTAGGCTAAAAGTTCAGCGAAGTCGGTTGGTCTCGCTACATTGTCACGTGACTGGATATTGAGCGCCTATAACCGCGTAGAGTGCATTATAAGCATGGCTGACTTTGAAGAGACTCTCCGCTACAGATTGCATCTCTGTGAGAGTTACTGTGTACGCGTTCGCCCTGTGAAAATACACATTATACGTTAATGCGCTAAGTTGCTCGGAAGCCAATCACAATAATGCGACCAAAACTTATAAAAGGGGCATACAGAAGTGTGGCCAAAACAGGTGCTAAAGTATTCAGCTGTTGCTGGCTTGAGCCGCTTGCAAATGCTTTTAGTAGCTTTTGCTTTTCTGTGCACGCTACGCCAAGTCTTTCTCGACTCTTTCTCAAGTTGGAGCCCTTCCGACATTTCCACTTTCGTTTTGGACGCTCGTGGGTAGCCGCGCATTTACTTTGGCAGCGAGTCCGAAGCCCAGGAAGGAGTTACACATGTGGCTGGCGGTTGCATGAGCGCGCAGATAGCTTTTGTAATATGGCAATCTGGCTCCGAAACCAGCCCTCGCTTTCGCCACATCTGCGAGTCTAGACTGGATTTGTTATTTTTCTGCGAGCGTTGCACCGTTTCCAGTTCTTGCGGGACAAATGTCTTTTTGTTGTGTTTTTTTTCCCTCTCCGCGTCGGTGTCACGTACGTTAGCGTTCGCGAACGTTCCCCCACAGCGTCGATTGCGAGTCCGCCGAAACGCCACAATAGCCTCCACTGGAAGACGACGTAGCCTGGTCACGCAATTGCCGAAGGATGCCCCTCCTGCCCCCCTCCCCCGTCACTTTACTTCTGTGCACCAGCCGTGCAGCAGCTGAAGAGTGTTGCATCGAAGCGTAGGAGTTAATATACTTTTTTAGTATTTTGCGTTCTTCATTAGCATTATTGGGATGCTGCCACGGTGTGACGGGAAGCACAATGGGCTTGCAATCCAGAGGTCGCCGGTTCGTTCTCCTGACTTTCCATTTGAAATCATATTCGATTGAAAGCTTTCGTGACTGCAGGGATTCATATTCTTGGTTCTTTCGGTAAAGTCATGTAGAAGGAAATAATAAAATAATAAAAATACAATTCTCACGACGTTTCCATTGCCACACAAGCACTCATCATCAGGTGTGAAAACCACGGCAAGAAAATTTAGAAAAAAAAATAAACGCCACTTTTTTCAAAATTTTCTTGCTGTGGTTTTCACACCTGATGATTATTGCTTGTGTTGCAATCGAAACGTCGTGAGAATTTTATTGTTCTATTTTTATTATTTCCCTTCTACGTGACTTTACCGAAAGAACCAAGAATTTTAAATAATGTTGCTTAAACCCCATCATCCGCTGTCCTTCCAGCAGTATAAATCGGTACACCACACCTAGTCGATCGGCATGTCGCATGTGGCGGCGGGGTTGAATTATTGGTGCTCCCATCTCTTGCAAGGCATCTGGCAAGTGTGGGAGAGAAGGCCCAATACCCTCTAGAGCAGTGTCCTTCATTGCAAGGTCTGCGGGCCACTTGTGGCCTTTAGTGTGACCCCTGACCTGCGGCCCCCAACAATACACAAATGTGAAAACACCCCCCCCCGCCCCCCCCCCCCCCCCCGCTATCATCATCGTGCTGCTGTCAAACCCCAGTGGTTTCAAATGTGTGGCAGCCCTCACACTGATGATGTCTCATCGGCGAAAGTTAGTGAAGAACACTGCTCGAGAAGAGGCTGCAGAGCTCCCTCTAGTGAAGGCCCTTCTTACCCCAGCAGCCAGCAGTGGCGGGTGCAAGCGATTGCCGCCAGGCTGCACCTTCACCTTTACTTTTTGGAGAACCTCCAAGCGGTGCATCAGGAGGCATAATAAGACTGAACGGTTGGCCAGTTCGTTTCCGCTTCGGAGATCGCCCATTGTTGCCAGTTTGTGCTGGACAGATGTGTATTTTGTGAGGCAGTTCTTTCCTCTGCGTATTTTGTAAGCCCAGAGTTTAATGAGCAATTGTGTGGCGCGAGTTGTCTTGGCTCGTTAAGAATTACATCGTAGCTAAGAGTGTAACGAGATGACTGTGGTTTACCTTGTATGACAAAAAAAAAAACCTCTGCTATTTAGTGTTAAAATAACTGTGGGCAGGCGCAAATTGTGAAACACTCACTGTATTAAGGCAGCGGAACGTTACTCATTGCCAGGAGCACAGAGGAGACCACATGGCTGACTCAGTTGTGAGTCATTTGTTAGCAGCGTTGGCAGAGCCAGAAAAAAGTGTGCTTTAGGTCAGTGATCAAAATAGTAGGGAAAAATAAGCCTTTAATTTGTAAAATATGCTGCATTCTCTTGATTTAAAATGTATTACCTCTTTAGCAACATTAATCCAAAATAAGCTTCTGCCCCTCGATTAGAAGAGGAGGATGCTACCAATAGCAATCCAGGATTGGGTGAGCAACTTGGAAATAGGAACGGCCGTGTCTCGCTCTGGGTAAGGGAGGTGCACTTTAACAAAGAAAAACTCGCCAAAATAATTTGCTCTTTGAGTGCAGGTGCATGTTAATGGATACTTATAGTCCATGAACCAGAGCAGAAATTGTTACCATCTAAGGTTGTAAAACTTTAGTAACCGATTTATTTACACAATGGATACGAGTGAAATTATTTGATGTTATTGGCCACGTGAATAAAATTGGAAGCGGTAAAGTCGTGCCACCTCGGGCAGTACCGACAAGTGAAATATCCCGTCTGGACACATGGGCGATGATAACTTTTTGGAAAAAATTGGTGTGAACAATTTGAAATCTTGGAATAGCATGTGCCATGAAAACATTGTATTTGCCATCACGGAGAGGCGGTTGTAATGGCGGTGGTGCATGTGCAGGATAGAGGTCAGGTTATCAAGTCAGGCATTGGAGTGGCTCCCAGAGGATCAGTAAACAGAGTGAAGACCTGAAGCCAAAATGTTGGTCTCGGACATCACTCATTAACTGTGTAACAGCCAAGGGATCCGTCACGCGAAAGTGACAGCGATAAGTGGTGGCATCAGCAAACATTGGCAGTCGGTGACCTCTTTGATTTGATTCCCTGCCATTCAAAAGTTATGAAGATGGGGGTATCTCCGTCATTGACTTTATGCCTTGAAGAAAACACAAGCGTCAAAGACTCTGTGGTTAAACATGCATGCAGCTGCAGCACACCCCAGCCAATGTCCTGGCTAACAAACCTGCATCATCCACACACTCCCAAGTCGTGCACAATTATCACCACCCCCATCAGGGGGGCCAGTGAACATAGAGTATAGGAGGGAAGCACAACGTTGAAACAAAGTGGGTACTTAAACAACTTGGAGCTTTGTTGAATTGTCTTTATTGCTAAAGTAACCTCCTTTGAGTAGTTTTGTTGGTGTGGCTGTGTGAAAACCGGTCAAGTAACCTTTCTGTGTGTCCTTTCAGGGACTTGAGCAACAACGCTTTGATGTCCATCCAAGATGGTTCCTTCTCTTCATTGAAAGCCTTGACAGAAATGTGAGTACAAATGAAGGCAGCACCAAAAACAAATCCATGATTACAAATGTAGCATTAGCCTAGTCATGCTGTGTGGGCCATGGCCGTTATTTTGACCGTCTTTCACCACGCTCGATAGTGCTGGTTGGTGAAGGTGGAGAGCATATTTGTGTTAGCGTAGGAGTACAGCACAACACATGCTACAACGCCCTCTGGTGCCTACTACATCGTCCTCCAGCCTCTAATAACCTGCTGTGCATGGCGGTTGCCTATCCTACCACTTGTGCTCAAATCCTGAATAGCATCTGACAAGATTGGGTGCATTCTGGATGGTTTGGTTATAGGGTCATGTCTACATCTATAGACGTATCTATATTTCATGGTGCTGCTGCTGCTGCTGCACACCTGGAATTCAATGCTGTGGAGGAGAGGGTTCTGGGATGACACAAATGTATGCTCCCTTTGCATTAATCGCGCAGAGATGGCAGTATATATAGCTAGCAAGTGCATTAGAGTTGTGCCGCACCCCCCCATCACACTCCTGGGTTTCGTCCCACATGTCTAATCACTCATTAATGGAATTGGTCGAATATACCAATTCAGGGCCACAAACCTCGGGACAGTTTTTGGCGCTGATTCTGGCTGCCTTCCCACTTGTCTATGGTTTCTCACTACTCTGAACCATATATAAAAAAAATGCGCGGGACAAATTTGCGACTTATTGCAAGATTGGAGCAGCATGTTTTTTTGGCTTGATGCTTACTTCGAGTTTTTAATTGCACTAAACCTTTCTATAACCACCCTTGCGTGCGTTTTTTTTTCCGGATCTCCCACGCCATGCAGGCGGCTGAACAGCAGCAGCCTGCTGTGCGACTGCACTCTCAAGTGGCTGTCGCCGTGGCTGGAGGAGCGTGGTTTCCGGGACACGGTCGAGGCCGACTGCGCTCACCCCGAGTGGCTCAAGGGCAGGGACATCTTCAGCGTGGAGCCCGACTCCTACGTGTGCGGTCAGTGTTTGCGGCACGTGGCTGGGTGAATAACAACTCGTGCAAGTTGAAGTCTGTCCAGATTAGTTCGCCAGGAAAATGGCTTCAGTTAATGTGCGGTAGGTAGAAATGCTTGGATGGCCTTGTTGAATTTTCCGAGTTCACATTGGTTCATCCAAGCTGTGCCAGCGAGCGTTCCTCGCGGAACAGGTGGTTTTCCACTGTGGCTCTTTGCCGAGCCGAGCCGGCCCTGAGTGAATCCCTTTCTGTGTCTCGCCCATGTTCTGCTGCTGCGGTGGGTGTGTGCATGTGCGTGCAGACACGTTCCCCAAGCCGCAGATCAGCGTCCAGCCCGAGACGACCATGGCGCTGCGCAGCAGCAACGTGACGTTCGTGTGCTCGGCTCGCTCCAGCAGCGACTCGCCCATCACCTTCTCCTGGAAGAAGGACAACGAGGTCATCTCGGACGGCCACGTCGAAAACTACGCACAGGTGAAGAGGAGAGGCGGTCTGTCGGCTTATGGCATGGTTGGCACTGCACAAGGAATGAGATTGGGCCACCTGTTCAATTTCACTCGCCCGCTTAACCACTGCCACTTACTCGCGTAACTTATTTGACACCAGCTTTTTAGTTTAATTTGGAGCGTGTGTATGTTAAACTTCTTTCGCACCATACGTAGGCAACTTGTGCTCATCTGAGGTGCGTGGGAAGGACAACAAACGGCTTAACAGTGCAGTGCGTTAACCACCGTCACCACCACGTTACCCATTCATCAGTGGTAAATGATAATATGTGTGTGTATATATGAGACTAAGTTCAGGATTTGAACTTGGATCTCTGGCCTCACATTGCAATGTTATGCCACGTCAATTATTGTATGCACATTGACGACGTCCAGTTTGTCTAGACGACGGTATTAGTTTTGCGTAAGGTAACAACAGGTGGCTCCGCGACAAGGCTACGGCCTCCCTCCCACCCACACGACTATACGCAAGAGTAGCGCCATGTCACAATCGCTTCCCCTACAATTGCTGGAGATTACTACCGGACCGAGGTGGAATTCTCCGCGCCCAAACACCCTCGGCAACGGGAGCGGCTTCGTGCTCCCAACCCCCCAGGTGCGCGAGCGGGAAGAGGAGGTGACGGAATACACGACGCGGCTGCACCTCATCAGCGTGGACTTCAAGCACGAAGGCCGCTACCAGTGCGTCATCTCCAACCACTTCGGGGCCTCCTACTCCAACAAGGCCAAGCTCACTGTCAATAGTAAGGCTGGGCGTGGGCGGCGCGCACTTTCCGACACTGCCTTAGAACAGACAATATACAGCGGAAGCTCTTGTTATCCGGGCACTTTACCATCCGGAATGCTCTGTTAACCGGCATCTGGAAATATAAATCTTCCTGGACGTATCCGGAAAAATTCCGACGTCCGCACGGCTTTCTGCCGTGCTCTTCTCGTAGATCTATTGTTTACGGAATTTTTAGGACGCTGGTAGCGCCAGGCTGTACATACTGTACTTACTGTACTCTAAGCAGCCCCACTGCATCTCTATACAATGAACTTAAGATGCTCTGCATCTGACCGTCGAGTGCCTCTATAAGAGTACAGGAATTCCTATATCATAGTTAAAATGTAGGCTGAGTTTCGTTCTTGAAAAGTTTTATGTACCATGAGTATTAATCTCAGATAACCGGCATATTTGATTAATCGGCACCCTCCATTCCCCATGGATACCGGATAACAGAGCTTTTGCTGTCCAACAGTTTGAACATTTCTGTTGTCTGTTGTCCTTCAGAGTAAAGGGGGGGGGGGGGGTCAACCTTTCTGTTATTTACTGACAGCTAAGTCAACTTTACTGCTTGACTTGCTGCCGTTTTGGTGAGGCCATGAAATGATTTGGCCAATTCAGAATCTTTATTTGTCGAGGAGAAATCTGATGAGCTATGAATCTCTTTTTCAAAAGATGTCCAATAGGGGCATGGGGTCAAAATTACCACAAACAATAAAAAAATAGGAGTGCAGTTCTGTCGTTAAGGGCCCTCCATCACCCAAACTAATTAAATTGTAACCGGCAACTATTACTTTTTCAGTTTGCCAATTCCAGAAAAAACATCCAGGAAGTCGGAATGACTTCCAGAATGATGTCCTTTTATCTGTGTCAGGTGGCCGAATGCCTCTTAACGACACAAATTTGGCCAGAACATTGTGGCCTAACTAAAAAAAATCTACTGCGAATACTGGCTGCGGGAGTGTACGTGTTAAGCATAATTTCAATCTCCGCTCCCTCCTCCCCCTCCGCCAGTCTTCCCGTCCTTCGCCAAGCTGCCCAGGGACATCACAATCCGCGCGGGGGCCAAGGCGAGGTTGGAGTGCGCTGCCGAGGGCCACCCCGTGCCACAGATCGCGTGGCAGAAGGACGGCGGCACGGACTTCCCCGCAGCGCGCGAGCGGCGGATGCACGTCATGCCCAAGGACGACGTCTTCTTCATCATGGACGTGAAGCCCGAGGACATGGGCGTTTACAGCTGCACGGCGCAGAACGGCGCCGGCACCATCACCGCCAATGCCACGCTCACCGTGCTTGGTGAGGGGCCTTGCCGTCCACACACACTCGCACACCGGAGGCAACTTCGTGCTACGAACGAGGCAACCAAGAGTTCGTTTCCCCGCTCATGACCAGTACCAGTGACCATGATCCTGGGCCTCCCCCAGGTTGACTCAGCCTTAAGTTATTACCTTGTGCGGTGCTGGCCACCTTGCCCGCGCCATGCCAGCCTCCATAGGTGCTGGCTAACAGCACTTACCCCAAAAGTCTGCTCAGGCTACACAAGAGATCTGTCTTTGTTCTCCGGTGGGTGTTGGCCATACCACTCGAGTTGCGGCTAACATCAGTCTGTTTGTCACACGTGTATTTATGTTACTGTTACTAAATTTAGAGTTTAGTTGCACTGGGTTGTTGTTTGCGTGTGTTTTTTTTACATGACCATCGAATACGTTATGTCAGTTGTGCAATATTCATGGAGTCGTCCTCTGTGAAACCGGCGTTTTTGTTGCGGCACAACTGGCTGAACAGGATCATCTGTGTAACACATCAAATTAACTCAAACTCAGCAATGCCGAAGTTTACTTCACACTGGATGAGCTTTGCAAGACTTTCTTTGCGACCCTGCATATGAACCCTTTCGACCTTATCGTTGGAAAGCGTTTCAATCTGGTCGATTTAAAAACAAACAAACCCTTGCGCGCTACGAGCGTAATTCACCCGCGGTGTCCGACCCTCCTCTCGTCCAGAAACGCCCTCGTTCGTCCGTCCGCTGGAGGACCGCACGGTGGTGGTGGGCGAGACGGCGGTGCTGCAGTGCATCGCCGGCGGGAGCCCCGCGCCCAAGATCTCCTGGACCAAGGACGGCGGCGTGCTCAGCGTGACGGAGCGCCACTTCTTCACGGCCAGCAACCAGCTGCTCATCATCGTGGGCTCCGGCGCGGAGGACGCCGGGCGCTACACCTGCGAGATGTCCAACACGCTCGGCACGGAGCGGGGAGACATTGTGCTCAAAGGTGGAGGCAACACGAGTGTGTGTGTGTGTGTCAACTCTGAACCGGTTCTGGATTTCCCCTTGGTCGACTCGGCCTTAAATTAGTTCCTGGTGCGGTGTGTAAACATCGCCACTCGGGAGACAAAAGCGGCCAAGCGTGGTGCTGGCCACCCACCCCCATCGTGCGCCGTGCCGGCCTTCATAGTTGCTCGCTAACAGCACTTGCCCCAACAGCCTACACGAGGGATCTTTTGTCTTGTAAACTCAGCCTCAAATGAGTACCTGGTGCGCTGTGTAGGGGAGCCGACAACAAGGCATGGTGTTGGCAACCAACCACCTCCTGTGCCGTGCTGGCCTTAACAGGTGCTCACCAGACAGCACTTGCCCCAGCAGCCTGTTATGGCTCTATTCCAAAACCCCTGCAACATTACATTCATCCCAAACATCCAAGCAATCGGCCCTGCGCATTAATGGTGCTCTTGCCTTCGAAAGAAGATGTCGTCGCCATAGATGGTAAAGTAAGCGTTGGGACGCGACGTGTAATATAACCTAAGCGTGGTCTCTGTGCCGCAGTGACGCCGTCTCCAAACTGCGAGCCCGTGGCACCGATAAAGATTGACGACGGCAGCACGGTTCTGGGAATCGTGACCATCGCCGTGGTGTGCTGCGTGGTGGGCACCTCGCTCGTGTGGGTCATCATCATCTACCACACGCGGCGCAAGAGCGAGGAGTACAGCTCCACCAACACGGGTGAGATGAGAAGTGCGTTGCTGCAAAACACACACAGCGCTTTCACTGTCGCCCCTCTGCAGTTTGGAGTCCATTGCACACTCGGTGGAAATGCTTCCCCTTGGCGGGCTCTCCACTGGGATTCAAGCTTAGACAAAAGCGCCAGCTTCACACGAATGATCGCGACAGGGACATTAGCGCATTTTCTGTGCCTATCAGACAAAAAGGCGTGCATCGAGCCCAGAGTGTCAAAATTATTGTCCTATGGGTAACAAACTGGCCCCTGCCACGGTAATGCAGAATCTTCCCCCCCCCCCCTTGGCTTAGGGTCACTAACAGGGGATGAGCTCTCCCCAATTGCTCTGGTGAGCAAGGGAGATGCTATAACCGTTGTTTTCTGGGTGTGGTGGACTCACGGTTGTTATCGCGGCGGTTGGTTGATGAAGGCATTAAGTCCACCAGTCATCCATCCACCTGTAATTAACAACAGTGTGTATTAGGCAGTGCAATTGCAGTGTTCTACCTGTGTACGAAATGTAAGCCCCACCCTGAAATATTAGTGGGTTTCCCCAGGACACTGCTCAACTGCCTTCACTAAAAAATAGTGCTCCGTCGGAAATTGGTTTAATATCCCAAATCAGAACCATCCTAATCAAGTGCATTTAAAGCAGACTCCATGGAGGCTTGCTTGGGTTAAGTGCTTTACAATTTGCTTCTGAGAACTTCAGTATTTTTCACCCTTGTGGGACCTCAGAAAGGTAACCAGCTGCACTGGACCCAAGCAATCTCTCTTCTTTGTTTATCAAGCTTTGGAATTTCTGTTCTTGGATTTAAAGTAAACCCAGGCAGGTGCACGTGGGTTTTGTCACAGGGCCGACCGTTTGGGGTATGAACGAACGCGCGTGCGTGCGTGTGTGTGTGGGTACGCATGCGCTGCGGTGCAGTAATGTTGTGGTTCTCGTGCGCTGTGCTATACAAACGACGACCTGAGTTTGAGTCCCGCTTATGGCCAATATCAGTGACGAATATCGAGGCTGGTCCTGGGACTCCCCTACGTTGACTCAAAAGAGGGGACCTGGGGTGGTGCGTAAACATTAGCACTGGGAAGATAAAGACGGCCCGTGTGACTTCCTTGTGTCTCTATTGACTTCACTGCAGTCACGTATTAAAATGCATACTTAGTTACACGACCAAAAACCATACTTGTTTCTGCTTGAAATATACGAACCTATAAGGAAAGGCAGTTGAGTCTATACGTAAGGAACAAAGTGCGTGTTAGTTTCAGGCCATCCTTCGTCAATTTACAACCTTATTAACAGGAATATTACTTTCAAGGGACTTTCAGAATCCCACGGGTGTTAGATCAGGTAGTCGGTACAACAGCCGCAAATATTGCATATTGACAAAGAGAATAGGAAAATACCACAGAGCACACATCGATTTGAGTGCCAACGGTACGATAAGGCTCTGCGAGTGTTTAAAGTGTTGATTTCGCACTCGATTCAATGCGGCTTTTGACACGAGGGAAATAGGAGAATTCTCATTCACACAGGTGAGCAAATATTTAGGTCTCTTGGCTGATTTTTACATATCAGACCTTTGGGCTGTTCTCAACCACAGATTACAGCGGCACAAAGGATGTATTATACTAGCCCCTCCCACTGCTAACCACACAATCCAGCAGCCAAGCCAGTTTTGTAATGGTATGATGAAATTCAAATGTTTTTACATACAGCAACACTGCGAGCTTGTTACTGTGATTGATTTTTTTTTGTTACAAACCCTCAATTATAGATTAACTATTGCAATACACACGGCGTTTGCCCACCTGTGTGTGTGCTCAGGCAGACTTCATTTGCGCTAATGCCAGAGAGGGACCATTTTGTGAATGACCCCTAAAAGGTTGTACATACAAATTTGAACATTTGTCACTTGACAGAAGTGGGCTCCCCAATGATATCACCGGACCTGGGGTCAATTGCAATCGTGATTACGTAATTTAATATGATTTACAATCACAATGTAATTTCAGCGAATAATGCTGTAATTGTAATCAAAGTTTACCCCCCCCCCCCTCATGCCTTCTAAATGAACAAAGAGTGAAAATCATATTCTTAGTTCTTTCGGTAAAGTCACGTAGAAGGGAAACATATTATTTTATTGTTTCCCTTCTACGTGACTTTACCGAAAGAACCAAGAATATGAATCCCTGCAGTCACGAAAGCTTTAAATCAAAAATTGAAAATCATGTTGAACAATGTGGGACACACAACCTCGCTACCTACATTTTTGTAGTGGCAATTGTTTTTTGGATATCACTTTCTCTAATGGGAACAAACAGTATTTAAAGGACTTTCCACCACTGCCAAGTACAATTTAATCAACAATGTAAATGAACCAGCCTCATTGTTAATATTTGACTATCCTAAACCTAGGCATATGAGAGGATAAACACCCCAAGCGTCTACACAGATGGGCTAATGAATCCACTTGCTCATATTCCATCTGCTACCCACCTCATAGGCACGTGGGTTTAAGTTTCACAAATCCATAACATATTTTTTTTCTTTTAAGGCAGTACTGTTGACGAATGTGACTTTTTGTCATTCGCTTAGGCCTATCGTAGTGGATTAAAGACATCTGCTACCACGTCCAGCTCAACCCAAGTTCACGAACACTTGCGTGGTGTTTGAGAATTGTCCTTCAAAGCCTTACCCCACCGTGCGTGTCGCTCACGACGCAGATGAGACGATGGTGCCCCCGGACGTGCCCAGCTGCCTCTCATCGCAAGGGGCGCTGTCTGAGCGGCAGGACGTCCTGGGTCAGATTGGCGACGTTGGCCCCAACCACCAGCCTAACAGTGGGGCTCTGCAACCCAATGGACACTTGGCACAGCACCGCGGTGGTGGTGAGTTGACATGCAACACACAGATTCTTTGCTTTGCAAACAACCATGTCCTCACCTTCACTGCTGTCACCATTGTTATTTACAAGGCATGCAAGGATGCTTGAGTTTAATCAATTAAAATTGCGTGAACCCTTCAGGGTGCTCTAGTTTCCTTCCACTTGCAAAATGTTCCTTAACCTTTTCCTGGTCCGAGACGTCTGCAAGTAAAAAAAAAACTAAACTAATCTTGGAATGCGCAAGCATTTCAGAATTAATTTTATTCAGAGGCATAGAGCCATTGTACTCACAATAGAGAACTGTAGTGACACGACCGCACTCTATAATAGCTGGTGCCAAACTGTGCCACGCTCTCCCACATGGCCTTGTGGGAAGCCTCAGTACCAGTAAAGATTTATTTTTTTCTTCTGGTTAAGTTACAATGACGTATACGTACGTACACCTACATCATTATAACGGGAAAGGGTTAAAAAAGAATTGGCCATACATCCCAGTGCAGGACCCTCCTGAAAAGAGCCTTGAGACCCGGTGAGCGAATAAATAGATACATAAATTGCATTATTATGCTTTGGTCATGGTTGTCAAATAGAATATGGAGCAGTGTAAGTCTTTTCCAGCCTTGCATTTTTCATGACTGTCACTACAAAGTAAACTGGGAAGCTTCACTGATTTGTCAATAATATTTCCAGAGCGTTGTGCATTAGAAGTTTGGCCACATTGTTGTTGAGTGTTTCGCATTGTGGGAGGAAGCCGGAGGACACACGCAGAGAGCATGTGAGGAGGTAACGCTGTACGGGTACCTTGCCAAGAAATCGTTGGCGTGCGTTTGACGAGTCTCTCGCTCCGTCCGTGCAGGCGGCGGTCACTGTCACGTGGAGATGGAATCCGACGCGGACTCTCCAGCCGGACCCCTCCTCTTCCAGCCGCAGGCGAGCGGAGCCGAGCTCAGGGTGCTGTACAGCAAGCGGGAGCCCCGGGGCCATCTGGCAAGGCAGCAAGCCGCCGACGTGACCAGGGGTACGCACGTGGCTCCTTGGGTTGAAGTGCACGACTCGCAATCGCAACGTCGCACTACGATTCAAATCCCGGTCGTGGATCGTACACATCCTTTCCTTTCGTCCGGGGTCATTAGCATTGAGTACAGCTTTGTGGGATATCAACGGTGATTCTGCAGAGGGACGGACTCGATTAATGTCTGCTCGCATTTTCAGACGCGGCCTTGCTCCCAAATGGATACCCAGTCGACTGCGACGACGCCTTTAGCGAAGATGAGGACGGCGGTGGGGGGAGCTCGGACGACGGGACGGCCCCACAGCCGGACTCCACGTGCTCACCACCCCCCAGCAATGGCAGCCACATCTATCCCAGCAACCACGACCGGTTAGCGGGACCCACCGACAGCTGGAAGGGCTGCCCATCCAAGTGCGCCGACGGTAAGGGACGGGTGGGTGGGGGGACGGGGACGTGGGTGGGTGGGGGGACGGGGACGGGTGGGTGGGTGGGTGGGGGGACGGGGACGGGTGGGTGGGTGGGTGGGGGGACGGGGACGGGTGGGTGGGTGGGGGGACGGGTGGGCTGGCTGGGTGGCAAGGTTACTACGGCAGTGTGAGGGGGTTCTTGGATCCAGCCAGGTGCTTAAATGTCTCTCTCCATCACATGCCATCTGAATTGTTCCAAAGCCCTGCTGTAGTTTAGCTTGGGAACTCCCAGTGGCATCTGTATGCGGCACAAAGTTAGGGGTTGGAAAGTGGGTGAAGTCATTTTGCAGCACCCATGGTCGACTTTTTCAAATGACAAAACGAGAGCTCTAAAATGAGTAACTAAATTCAACATTCGCCAAATAGTAAAAAGTTACCCCTTAACGATAAGATGAATAAAATAGTGTCCTCAAATAATGGGGGTAGTGCCCATCTTTGGATACCTTGACGCTGTATTGGAAATTCCACATTCCTATGTTAGGGACAGTCACAATCTTAGTAAACCATTAGAAGATGATTGTCCTGTGAATTATCAGTTCAGATTGGGGATCGGTTGATCGCAGCTAATGAGAATGGATGTATTTAGTTTCAATAAAAAAAAATTCTAATTTATGAATGGCTCCACATGCAGGGTGCCCCAATTTAAAACACCAAAGGTGTTCAGATTCAAGCCTTGGTGGGAAACTGAACCACAGTTTATGAACTTGATGCTGGAGAAAGCAGATTTGTTTTTCTGGAAACCAACATTTGATTAATCACCGCCTTCCTGTAAAATAATGAATTAACAAACATGGTCGCCTGTGGACATCACAGGGTCAGATATTTTTAGCCGCGGTATTAATCACGTTTGACGTTGCTCGAGAACCAAGTATAATGTTTTTGATGACCCTGGAGTGTTTAAATATTCTGCATACCATTTTGTCAGCTTACTTGCATAGGAAGTACTGGTTTGTGTATGCGTGTGTGGCTTAAGGGGCTGTCGCATTTTGCTGCAAAACCCATAAACCTGGATTAGATTTCCTGATGGACATCCACTTTCAATTGTAATCTAAACTTGATGCGGATCTCCCCTAAGTTGACTCCGCCTTAAAATGAGTACCTTGGACGGTGTATTAACATAGGTTCTACAAAGACAGTGCAGTATTTATCCATGTGGGTTGTGCTGGCCCTGCACTCGTGCGTACTGTCAGAAGTGGCTCTGCTTTGGGAAAGGCTGCAATTTCCACCACTGGGTCAGAGCAGCTATAAAAGACGAGCACTTCTCTATGGCTCCATTAGTGTGGGTAAAAATGTTGCCCAAAACATACCTACGCACCCCTCACCAACAGCGGGTGTGGGGGGGGGGGGAGAGATAATGAATCAGCATGTTGGTGCCTTTTGGTTGTTTTGGCGGCAAAGATGAACTGCAAATCTCACACTTTTGACTTTGCGAAGCTGACCGTTCCAACATCGCTCTCCTCCCGTGTGCGTGCGACGTTACAGAGGCATGCGCGCGCTCGGTGCGGCGTTCCCCAGCCGACACTCACGCGCTCGGCTGCCCTCGCCAGCCCCCATCCGGGGGTCAGGTCGAGGAGCCACCGTTCCCAGACGGCGGCGGCGCTGCTCCGGCGGCGGCGGCAGCGGCGGCGGCGGTTCCCCCAGCCGCCGAGACGACGGGCCGCAGCGAACCACTCGGACAGAGAATGAGGGAAGTCTCGCAGCCACAGCCGAGACGAATCAAGACGTAGAGCGGCCGGCGAGCCCCGTCTCGGACACGTGAACTGACGTGCACCCGGCGCCCATCGCGCTCACTGAGAGATGGGTAGCGGACCTTCTCTTAAGCGACGTAAGACTGTAAACAGCTGCCGTGATGTGACCGCAAGTTGGTACTTGTTAACGCCGCTGCCGTTTATTTGCAATGACGCAGGAAACACGGTTTGTCAAACTGCACAGAAAGAAAGCATTATGTTTTTCCCCATACCCTGGCCCAGGATTCTTGGGATGGTAACTTATTTTTAAGTTTTTGGCCTCAGTTGTACGTGACCTCAGCGTTGCAAAGCACAGCAACCCTGTGTCACAACGGTTTGCGCGATGCAAGCAAGAACAGTACTTGGCATCCTGCGAAGTGTTTGTACGTCAAAGGGCATGACCCCTGGAGAGTTGGTACTTGCGCTGGTACTTGCTTAGCACGACTAATGGTACTGCTCAGCAGAGATAGGAAGGCTGACTTGAATCGCGCCAAGACTGCACTGGCCGCATGTTCTAAAAACGTGGAAATATAAATTCACAGTTGGAGAGGATTTCCAAGTCAACAAAGTTACTACGAACTTTTGCAGCCAGTTTGTGAAATGCTTTCCTACCTCAGTCGCAACATCACTCCTTTGAACAATACACATCAGTACTGAACAACACTACAGGCCTACAATGTCCCTCTGGCAGTGAATGAAGTGCCAGTCGAAGGACTTTACAAGAGCAACGGTTTTCCCTGTTCTGGATCTCAAGCGTCGATGGAAGTCGCGAAAAGCACCGAGGTTTGCGGCGATGCTGAAATAAAAACAAACGGACTTCTCTTTTAAAATCCGTGTACAGCGTGTGTGTGTGTAAAAAAAACTAATAGGAAAGAAAGATAAATAAGTGTTGTATATTTGTATAGATGAAAAGAGTGGAAAAGGTTTTGCAAATTAATTTTTTTCTATTTTATTGCTCTTCATGATGCACATTCTAGCTCTTTCTATTAAAACACAAAACAGCAACACTTCAAATTTTGCACAGAACCTGCACCAGTTCTTTACCAAATTTGGACCTGGTGATTGGCCTTATATACATATTTTCTTTTTTGTTGACGTCTTAAATTTAATCGATAAATTAACCAATTACTACTACTTTCTAGATCGGTGCCTTCATCGTAATTAAAGCACTAGGCCTAATTAATCTTCCGTTGCCCTGACGTGCAACAGCACTAAAGCTGAGCGCATGAGGACATGGACAGCGCCTACGCTGAAGCGGCTTACCAAACTCTGCTCGTGCTTTAATGGGATTTAATCAACAAGTATTTTTCTTCAGATGTTATATTGTGATTTTTATTTGTCTTGGTACCTTTTTCTCTTTTAATCTCAGTGCATTTCCTGCTACGTTGTCGACCTTGAAGCTTGTACATAAGACATATCGCTTTATTCATTGTTTAAAAAAAAGTCCCCTGTATTTAGGATTTGTACAGCATGTGTGAAATAAAATGTTACATTCTCTCCGAATTTGAAATGTCCAGATCTGTTTTGTTTTAATTCAAGAAATGAATTTAGACTGGGGAGGTTTGCTTGTCGTAGGGTAAAGAGTGGGTATCTCCCGACAATTCCAAGACATTTGGAAAGTAGACTTTGGCTAAAATGCCTTGCACGAGGCATATCCTAAGCTTATCTCTCCTAGTGGTCACCCTACCAACAGCAGTTGCATGAGTAAACAATTTCAGGGCTGCATTTACCGTACACCAAAAATTTTAGGCTGCTTTCTCATTACCAATACGATTTTGGTTTGTATCACGTCTAAACGCAATTACATCTCAAGATACTGACCATGCGCTGCTAAACAATAAGTTTGGCTGCCACTGTATAATCCTTCCAGCGGGTGATGTCTGACTGCTCAACATCAAAAAGAGGGGAGGATATGTTAACGGTTATTGTCCGAGTTAATATACGGTAAATTTGCGGAGGGAAAATGGGTTGGCATGGTGGTGCATTGGTTGGCACACTGCGCTATGAACCTGTGAACCGTTTTCAATTCCCAGTCAAAACGAATGTTATCGGCGGGTGGTATTTGAAGCTGAGCCAGTGGTGGAAATTTCGAATTCCTATGGCAGGGAGTGAGTCATAGGCCAACCACTTTTGACTTCTGTAAAAAGTCGTACTCGTTTTATGATGATGGGCTGAGTGAACTGCCATTGCATATAATATATAGTATACTATTTGAACAACATACCTTCTTACCCTTAAATTGATTCACGTTTCATGAGCACAGTATATTAATTGTATATTAATTTATGGATCGTTCCACGTCTTAATTTCTATAGCAGTGCAGTCACTCAAGTAAACACCGAGAATGTTTTTTGTACAACCTAACGTTACATCTTGACTTAAAGCTTTCGTGACTGCAGGAATTCGTATTCTTTGGGTCTTTCGGTAAAGATGACCGCTTGTGTTGCGATCGAAACGTAGTTTTGTTTTTTTGTTATTTTCTTGGAACTTATCTACGTGACTTGACCGAAAGACCCAAAGAAAACCTAACGCTATATTTGTATGATTTTCATCGTAGATGCCGCCGTTCACTGGTAGTTATAACTATCAGCATCTCCCATCAGGGCATCGATTGCAATGCAGAGAGTTCTTGGTTGGGCACATCAAAAATAGATATTTTCTATTTTTTTTTAAACCTAAGAGATGTAGTGGTATAGCGCTAGCTGCTGGCGGAAAAGGGGAACTGCGGTGTACGGCAGTACTCGCGGCGGCAGTACTCGCGGCAGCAGGCCACGATACATACGATAGGGGGACATTAGGGGAAAGGTCACAGAAGGGTCCCATCGGGGAGTGCCGGGAACCCGCTCGTAGCTTCCAGAAGGGGGGCGTAGCCAAAGCGGAACAAGGCCACGCTGGCAGGATAAGAGGGGGCCCTGAGTGGGAGCGCCGGGAACCCGCTCGTAGGCTCCAGAAGGGGGGCCTGGCCGGGGCGGAGCAAAGCCACACTGGGAGTATAAAAGGGGGCCCTGAGCGGGAGCTCGGGGCTGTTGCTGGAAGTGGAATCCCCGTCGTACTGTTCAAGATCATCGTCGTCGGGTACGCCTTCACGATCCCGGGGCGCTGCTAGTCAGACAGCCTACCAACCGTTCTAACCAAGTAGTGCCGTCGACAATAAGACGGTCTTAATAATAATAACAAAAGTGTGCACCCACGTGGGGTGTTGTGTGCGTTATCCCAATGGTGCGTGTTTAATAAAATAAGTGCCTCCCAAGTATTACCATCTCCGATCTGCGTCACTACACACGTGTGTGTGTGTATATATCTGTGTGTATGCACATAGTGATTTGAAGCTTTTGTGACTGCAGGAATCCATACTCTTTGGTTATTTCGGTAAAGTCACGTAGGTAGAAATAAAATAAAATAAAACACGACGTTTCGGGCGCAACACATTCGTCCGTCATCAGGTGGGATAACCACAGCGAGAAACAATTGCTCAAGTGGGAAAAAAAGGCTGCTGTAACAAGAGGCTATATAGGTAAGAGAGGGGGGGAGGAGCCAGGGACGACACGTCGTTATTTATTTTATTTCTACCTACGTGACTTTACAGAAATAACCAAAGTGTATGCACATAGTGTTATGTCACTCTCCGAAATGCCAACAACTTTGTACAGCATTTCATTTTGACGTGTAACCATGGCAACACCTGTCCATGCACCTCAAAGCTTAACCACTGCACAATGTATGGCTGACTGCTTTGACCCCCCCCCCCACCCCAAGTAATCTCATAAGCCAGGAACTATTGACATCTTTAGACCATCATCCTTTAAAAACATTCAATCTTACGACATTCTTGAGATGAGATTTAAAAAAAAAATTCATTTAAAAATCAATATCCCGTGCTGGAGTCACACAGGTTCAAGGGAGTTGACACGTGACTCGTATCTGTGGCGGCACCTTGTGCGTTCAAAGACAAGTATCCCCCCCAATATACCTGTAAACAGACTGTTGGGGCAAGTGTTAGCGAGCACCCATTAAGGCCGGCACGGCACACGAGGGGGTGGATGGCCAGCGCCACGGCCAGCACCACGGCCAGCCGCCTTTGTCTCACCATTGCTGATGTTTGCACCACACCAGGTAATAATTTTACTCTTTTTGAGTTGAGGTTGGGGAGGCCCCGGGACCGGTTGGCTCTGAGCAAGAATCGAACTTGGGTCACCGGATTCGTAGTGAAGTAAAAGTCACCACTATGCCGGTGCTCCCAACAGGGCCCTTTGAGAACCTGCATCTTGCGTTCAGGAGAAACGTATCAACCCACACGTTCGCAGGCTGAGATTTATTCTTTCTAGAAGTTTCAGCTGAAAATGTACACGTGTGTGTGTGTACAGCTCTTTTGTCAATCCACTGCTAGATGATGACCTCCCCAACGCCACGTCGGTCGTGAGGATTACTGACCATACTTCACCACGCTGGTCTGTGTTGGTCATTGTATGTGGGTGATACGGAATTCTAGAAGTACAATGCAATAAATGCATCTGCACACTGTCTCTACTGCCCACCATGTAGCTCTGCAAACCCTATGCTGTACTGGCTCTTTCAGGTACAACATTGCAAGGCAAGTGTGTGTCTGCAATGCATTGGTACCTCAATTTTATTTGTCAATCACTGAGTTGCCAACTTGACTTCACAAAGTCACCCCCACCCGTCTTTTGCTCCAATTCTATCCCAACTGCTATGGGCGTTTTTTGACGATTTTGCCATCCAGATGCCTCGCAGTGCAGTGTCGCCTTTTGCGTTGCAAAAGAACCCACGGGAGTCGATTATGCAGAGCTATCTCAGAAATCCTTTCAAGCAGCCTCTACGAGTCGACAGTGTGGAGCGGCGGGGCTTTCCCACTTGCTCTGCCACAGAAAGGAATGATTGTCGGGTGATGTTTTTTTGTCCGTTGCAAATCCAGTTTTTTACAAGCAACTGCGGTTTATTAGAGGCAACAGGTGACCGCGCCTGGATATGAACCTAGGACTAAACCATTTTTTTTTGCTATTTTTTTTACCACAAATTATAGCTCACGTGGAATTTTATAGCAGCCAAATAGTCTAAACGCATGTTTCTAAACGCAGATGGATAAACAGGAGGACCCGGAAAAAATCCACACGACCACGGGGAGAGAGACACGCAAACTCCAAATATACAGCAGGCGTCAGGGTCGGGATCGGACCCCACGACCTCCTGCATACCAGGCGAAGGAGTTAACATCTCGCCAATGTGGCGCCCCAGGACCTCAGCAGTGACAGCTCAGCGCTTTGACCTGAGCCACCCTGCACCCTCAGCATCTCACCACCACCCCTGCCCTGACTTTAATGAAACACATTATTCCCACTTTTTTTTTATGTCAGCCACAATAGGTGACAATAATGTATAACTACGAACGTCCATCCTTAGCTAGAAAAAAATATTACGAGAGCAATCGCCCACATTTTACTTTTCAATAACGATGGTCACTTTCGTGCAGGTTTTTTTTTCCATATTAAAATTCTACTTGTGGGCCAAATTGTGCCACATTAATGGGCACTGGCTGGAGTGTTTGAGCAGATTTAATGAGTTTTTAATTAATTTTATTGGACCATAAAATTCCATTATGGTAGAAGAGGCATTGCTGTAAGAACCCTGAATTAAGCGATTATTGCAAATGTGCATGGCCATGACAAGATTACATTAAGCGGCAAATTTTGCCAAAAGCATTTGCGCAAAAATACACAATTTCAATATATTTTGGTCTAATTACAAAGAAAATCGAACTTTCATAGTTTTTATTTAAATGTAATATGTTGGCAGGCTTATATAACCTGGCAATTTTATGTGATATCAGACCACAGTGACATGATTATGCCAGCTCCAGTATTTTTTTACTTGATTCCTACAGAACATCGTGCCGAAATTATTCAGCAATTAGCTAATAAAAATGGCATTTTCAACAGAAATCCTTACAACATTTTATTGATATTCTTAGCTCTTTCGGTAAAGTCACGTTGAAGGGAAACAATAAAATAATAAAATGTATATAAAACAATAAAAAAAATTCTCACGTCGTTTCGACCATAACACAAACGGTCGTCATCAGGTGTGTCGGTTTGCATAAATTTATTTATTTTTAGACGGTGTATTTATTTATTTATAAAAACCGTCAGCGCCACGCGCAGCGATTTGTCAGTTTATTTAGAAGGACTAGTCCATCTATGTTCTGAAAAGAGGAGGGGGGAGGGGAAAAATTAATGTATGCTGTCTGAAAGCCACTGTAAGCGTGAACAATCAATTAAGACCTGAAATGGTTTATCAAATGTTTCCAATGATTGCTAAGCCAGAATCCATCTTCTCGGTTGAAATTGTCTCTGTGCTTGTATATGTGGATAGCCTCATGAACGAATCTCTCATGGTAGCCAGATGGCTTACAAAGAACCTCTGTCTTGGAAAAGTCAATGTCATGTGAGCCTACTGAATTATAACAATGATCTGCCACGGCCGAGGTG